TTTATTTCAAGAAACCCTATAGAAGAATGCTGATTTAAATATTTACCTATTGAGTTTCATAGCTACTAAGAAGGTCGCAGATAGAATATGGAGGATTATTAGATGAATACTACCGATACCGTGGTAAATCGATGTTAAAAGAAATAGGTAGGGACATAGATAGAGTACAGAATAGTGTGGAACAGTACCGTATGAATCAGAGGCTCCTACTCACTAGAATCCCTCTTCTCATCCGTAGAATATTACGATCAGCGGTAGCTTCTTGTTGTCGGACTTTTCTGCCCAGGGAAAAACTGTAGAAAGCTGTTCTCTGAATAGCCCACGTAGTCTTGCCAGCCTCTCTGTACTCCACCTATGCCCCTACTCATTTGAAACCAAACAATCTATGGATTTGCTAGCAGCATATAACCCGGCGGCACTCTTGACGGTCGGTCCGCCTACTCGGACCTAAGCGAATGCCCCCGTATACGGCAAGAACAGTAAGTACATATTAGATATATATATCAAAAGTATTTGCTAATTAGCTTTATAGATTTATAGGTTACTCCCTTAGCCTACTAGGGGGCTAATTGTAGTTATCCTATTCTAGCTATATTAGCTATGAGATATTCACAAATATAGGCGCTACTAGTACTACTTATTTATATTTTGAACACGTTTAATAGTACTACTCGAGTATAAATCAAGTAGCTAAATCTATTACTCAACTGTAACAGATTTGATTCAGTCTGAATCAAATCTGTTACATCAACTTAGCTTGAGGAAACCACCTACTTATACTTAATCTATTTAACTCGAGTACTACTCGAGTAGAGTAGAGTAGTTAAGTAGTTTTAAACAAACGCTGTTTTCTAGCGCAAGCCTTTTTTCAAGGCAAAATCTAGGAGGGGTTGACTATGCTAACCAACGTTCGGCATCTGGAATTCTATTCCATTCTAGACCCCCCCTCTGGAAGGACTCCATTCCATTTAGTATATTAATGGAAGGAGTCCATTCCAGAGGGGGTATTCCATGGAGTTTTATGGAATTCCAGCTGGAATTTGTCACATGACCTGGATAAATGTGCCCCCGCTCCGTGGACTAATAGGAAGTCCCCTAGGGTATAGGTATCTAGTCAAATAGAAGGTCACGTGAAAGTCCTCTCTAGCCGTGCTCGCCAGTTATAGTACAGTACTCCTCTAGAGTGCGCTGAGTTTAATTATAAAGAAACATATTCGATACTAGTACTCTTACCTATTTCTCTAGCTCCCAAGGTCTATATACCCCCCTAAATCACGTGTTTTAATAGCTCTGGAATTCCAAAGGGTACTCGATGGAAGGAGTCTATTCCATTTAAAGACGCTCTGAAAGGACTCCAGATGGAATGGAGTCCATGGAGTTCCATGGAATATGGTTCCAGACGCCGAACGTTGATGCTAACAACCCAAGACATGTGACCTTGAATAACATCGTGGATTCTACACCAAGCCGTGTGAATTATGGTGAACGCGAAGAGTTTCTTAGAAATTTAAATATTGAACTATCAAAGGCGGCACCCGTTAGTTGACATGTCTTACTGAGTCTTTGTAGATAGGAAGGATGACTGATTGGAACGTCCAAAAAGATATTCGTATATACTTCGATGGTTTCAAGTATATTATATAGGCGGAACAAGCATATCATGTTTCTCTTGGTTGTCTTGCACAGAGTACTAATCCTTGATGGGGTGTAGATTTGGCAAGCGAGTCTAGATCCGTAATTTGTTGGTTCTTCGTTTTGTATGTAACTGTTTTCACTTTGTGTACTCTCGGTCAAACTCACCAATCCTGCGCGTCTCAATCATCACTTCAATTTAGCCTAGCTTTTTTCCTGATTGGATTAGATTGTTGAAATTTCAAATTGGTCTTCGCGGTACTTGAGCAACACACAAGCGTTGGCAATGATGATGCTAGGGTGATGTTTTCCCAGAAGCATTTCTTTCAAGGGGGTTTTGTTGAGAGTTCCACGATGAAAGGCGGGAGAGGTAAAGATCGGCTACATTCATTTATTGATTGATTGTGAATACTTTGTTCGCTAGTTGCCCCTCACCACCCATTCATGATATTCCCCTTTCCCTCCGACCCTCGTTCAGCTTTAATCCGCTGAAGTAACTTCCCATTTTTGATTCCTACACTTAGTTGATAGATCCAAGGCTTTGAGTGAGATATACTCTACCTTTGCCATGACCTTCTTTTACTCATAACTAGTCTCAACGCTCCCCAACTCCTCGCCGTCGATCTCCAAGGAGAACTTCATGACCGCTGGTAGTATTGTAATGACTAGGTCAAAATAAATATCAACATACCAATTTCCATCTTTGCCCAGGCGATCTTTGAAGTACTTCTTGTCTACGTGTCTTAGATCCGCCTTGAACTTGCAATTCTTGACAACCCAGCTCCTGGGTACTTTGGTTGCTCTTCGGATTCGCATTGGTATAGCTTGTCTTTGAAAATGAGCATGCGAGGATGATAGCCCTTTTCTAATGATCTGAATAAATTATGCTTGATCTTTTGGCCTCTGTCAAGTTCCTCACCAGACTCAATGAACCAGCCCATCTGCATATCTTGTGAGTATAGTGTCAAATCATTCTTCTTGGGATGTTTCCCTACCTTGCTGCATCTGTATTCACCCAAAGATGCATCAAACCATTTTCTCTGGTTGTAATCTTCCGAAGCACTATACTCCTCGCTTGCGCTAGTACCGTAATGTCTTGGTGCCAAGATAGTCATGACTTGTGCTTCATCCTGAAGTTTGCTGAGAACAGTACCCCTGGCAGAGTTCTGTTAGCCCGTATGATCTTTCATGGGGAGTATATATGAACGTACTCAACAATTGCTCCCCATGCTTCTTCCGGTTGGATGAGCTGAATCCCTTCATGAGCTTCCTCTAAGCAGTCTCTCAAATATGCGCTGGATCCGAAACCTCCCACCAAGACGATAGCCTTTAATTGTCAGCGTAGGTGCTGCATGCAAGCGACATTCTCTGTATACCTTCACAAAATCTTTGTTCTGGATCTTCGCCTTAGCACGAGGCTTTGGCGGGTTATCTCTCAAACGTTTGAGTGATATGGAGTTGACTTGTCCCTCAACCAATCTCTTGATGTCAGCCACTAGTGGATCAAAGATTTCTTTCATTTCCGCTCTGCAAAAGAGTGGGTTTTGATTTGTGTTACAGGCAGCCAGAACCTACCCTCGCATGAGCCAGCAGTTAGAAGACAAGCTGCGTTTTGGAATATCTGGAAGACCTGCTAGAGGAAAATTGACATAAAACGGTGAGTTTGGGTTTCCACGAAATTTCGTCTTGTGTCGCGTATCGAAATCGTCCATGGCCATTTTGAAAGCTTCCGTCTTTCGTAATCGATGAAACTCGTCATTCCCAAGAAGATCATTGAGAGCAAATTCAAATCGTCTATTGAGACCAAGTGAACCGGCCATTGAACCTGTCTTTGTCAGTAAAGGAAGAGTTCTAGGAGAGCGATCTGCTAGACTAAACAGACCTGAGCTGGGAACCAATTCTTTCAACTCCAAACGGGGTGATAACTGGGTGGTTTCATATGAAATCAAGTCAACTGTTCCTCCGCCGGCATCACATGTTAAAAAACTATCACCAATCTGGTTCAGGTCAGCAAGAATATAATTGAGAGTGATGGCGCTACAGGGATTTTTGGGCATTAAACTTGAACCGACTCACTTTTAGAGCCTCCTCTTTCATCGAATTCAGAGCAAATAGTGCTGCCGCTTCAGGTTCCTTGATCAATGTTACGGGATCCATTCCTGCCTGTTTAGCTAGCTGCCTTATGAAATATTAGCGGAAATCCTTGGGAGAAGTTCGTGACTCAAAGCTTACTCGGAGTGTCAAGTCCTTTGCCTTATCGGACCAAACTGCAGGAACAGTGAGGACAAATTCTTTCTCGCACGAATTGAAGTAACTTGAATGATGTCTGGACTTAATGACTTTCAAAGCATGCTTGTAGATCGCTGAAATGAAATCTGCAGCTACGTCGACAGGTTTTTTTCCAAGCTGCTTGAGCTCATCACTTGGAAAAGACTTGGGCAAATATTGCGGTCTATCTTGATCAGGGTCCAAAAGAAGTTTGATGCCATAAATTACCTCGCCATTGTGTTCTTCGCCACCCCAAGTGAACTTTGTGGGGTCATTGGGATCGTAGCAGATTGTCGTTGGAACCTTAACTTGGGTTTTTCCTTCTAAACCTTTATTACAGAAGTCAGCGTCCTGAATCAATATAGAATCATCTTTTCTCACCTGGCCAATCTTTGATTGCGCGAACTTTGGCGTTCTCACCAGTATCAAACACATAGGCGATGCCGCTGAAAGTTGTTCCAAAGTCAAGTGCAATGACCAAGCGATCTTCGCGATCTTCAATATTTGGTGCCATAGTAAGAGGTTTTAATTTAAAAAGAGGTAATCTAACATCTATACATTTTTTGGTTACAGTTTCACCTTCAAACTCTATTAAAATATTTCTAGTCTTCTGGTATTGGGTTGGAGAGCTTGAAGTGGGAATCTAAATTTCCGTGGCGAAGGAGATGTGGGAAGAGCAAGTTTCAGGAACTGAAATGTAGAAGGGAGAAGTGGCTAGGTAGATTCATAAAAACGGGAGCTTTGTGTTCATAAGCAGGGTTACAGATAGACACTTCACCTTTAAGAGCGTTCACTGGAGGTGTTGAAGGTGAGATTGACAAACACAGGCGAGGTTGAAGGCGACGCCCAGCTTCAAGCGAACTTCACAGAGACATGCAGCCAAATCTACGTCACTACAAAAATCTCGATAGAGATTGAAGTCACCAATCCGTCGCACTCTAGGAAGGTACTCCTCTCACCACTCTGAGAGATCACCGATTCTCACCACGGAGAGATGCACCTCGTCTCCGAAGACAATCATACCGACGCACAAGCTTCCGACTTTTATGTTCACTACATCCCTGATACCCAGTCTTCTATCTAGAAAAGACGCTCGCAAAATGGGAGGAAATTCTAACCAGGAGAGCTATCGGATTGGCGAGGGTGTGGGTGAGCTTTCTCAAGACACAAGCAAGTTAAACGATTTCCAGGCAATTGTGAAAGAGTCAGAGGTTTCGCTCAAGGAGCACATCGAGGAAACAGCGGGAGTACACACCCACTTTATCATTCAAACCCTACTTGCAAGGCTTGGTAAATTATCTCCAAGTGAACCATTGTCGGTAAGTTTTTATATTCTTCATCATCTTCTGTTCAGCTGGGACTAAGCCCCATGCTCCTCAGAAGGAAAACTCCACCACACAAGTCATTGTTGTGTCTGATTCATCAATATCCATCAAGAAAGAGGCCGATCGCAATGAAGAAGTCATGGCCGATGAATTGGCTGGAAATGGGCACCCCGATGAACCAAAGCCATTAGCCAGGCAGTCCCGAAAGCGAAAACACGAAAACGAGAGTGAGGTCGAAATTCAACATTGGAAATCACAACTCGCAATTATGGAAAAGAAATACGTGGAAGAAAAGTCTAAGAGCAAAAACTTTCAAAATGAGATCCGCGGGTTGGAGCAAAAAATCACAAAGTTACGTGGCCAAGTCACGAAATACAAGGCTCTCCTCACGAAATCAGATGGGGATGCTTTCGAGGAAGTGAAGAACTCGAAGATCGTCCAAGATTACGCAAGCCTCCGGGACCAGATTCAACGCATCGTGGATAAACACTTTCGCCTAGACCCAGCCTTCGAACCGCAGCTACCAGAGCGAGGTCCCAAAATGTTTGAAGATTTTTATAGACTCTACAAAAACAAGAATATTAATGCTGAGGGTCTGAGAAAAAGGTTTCGTGGCCTAATCTTTAAATATCTTCACAAAAATATTTTCACCAAGCCATTGTTTGGGCTCGACTCTGCAGACAACTTTTCAATAAGTTTGGCTCTTTTGGAGTCTAAATGCAGAGATTCAAAGAAAGGTAATGCAAGAATAGATTTTGTTGTCCAGCTTTCTGACTGCGTCATCATAGGTCAAATATCAGAAATCATTGAGTGGAGAATTAAAACCATGAAATGCATCTCAATGCTAGAGGAAACCGACATTCACTCCTATAATTTTGCTAATAGCGCCTTTCATTTCCTCTTACCTTTCATAACCTCCCACCATGATGATGCAGGACTCGAAAGACTCATGGACCTACTGGTCGGGCTCTTTGAAGACGCCCACAACTTCGCACTTCTCCTTCGACGCAGCAAACACTCTTACAAGGTCGAAATACAACATCCCAATTCCCCATTCGATAAAAGTGAAGCCGTTATCCACCAAGTTGAAACGCATCTCAGGAACGGAAGTCAACAGCGCGAACTAGTTGGGTATCTGATCTTTGGTGCGCTCGCGAAATTTCCTGAGGACAATCCAAATCATCGAATTCTTCTTGAAAAGGCGTATTTGGTCTCCCGCATCAGTTAGTAAACCACAGTGCGTTTTTCAGATCAAGCAACCGTTTCTCCCCAGATCTTCAGCACTCGCAGCGAAAACCTCCATGTCTATTCTTCATCAACAACAACAATCTCACGAGGAAGGAACATGCAGTTCACATTTCCATAATTCCAAGACTTCTACACACCAAACTTTCCCCTCATTTCACAAAACCACCAAATCACATACCTCAACAAGCGGGACTTGGGCCCAACAACTCAACCTACTCTTCAAAAATTCCAATCACAACACACCTTCCAGCATAACAAGCCAAGGAGGAACCCCCAATTTCACACTTTCATTTCTTTCCTTCCCCCATACCCCAAGACTTCCCACCACGTCAAAAACCCACCAAGTCATTTGCCAGAACACGCAAGTCCCTGGCTTCAGATCATCACCTTCCTCCAAAACCTCACTACACCACATAACTTCCCCCCAAACTGGCGGAAAGGAACCCCCATTCACAACTCCACATTTCATTTCACATTTTCCTTCTTTCTTCTCATTCTCCCCACTGAGCTTCCCACATCCAATCATCACCTCATCACATCCTCACAACCAAAAAGCCACTCATCCCCAGCAATTTCCACATCCCCCAAATTCACTTCAACAAAACACTACAACGAAGCCCCAAAAATGTACATAAAACCACTGAAAAGCACGCAGTAGAAAACCCACCCTCTCCCGAGCTCTTCTTCTGCGTTCGCCGCCCTTTCGTGAGAACCTGTTGTACTAGAATCCGTGAAATCTTTAGCGAGAGATGAGTATCCTAAACCACTTATCGGACCACTTATTATACCAACAAAACCTGAAATATCAAACCTCACCACCCTACCTCTCTCTATCTAAAAATTCAAAAATTTAACCTCCCCCACACCCCTACCCCATTACACCATCCCTCTTACCTTCCCCTCCCAACCCAACAATCTAATCCCATCACAAACCCACACCTCAAACCAACAATCCACAACAACTCCCGCGCCCCCTCCGAACATCCAACCCCCCACACCAGTAATTCCATACTCCCCAATTATCAATTCCAAAGAAACCAAATACCTTACTAAACACAATACCTTTAACCTACTATACCAAAACCAAAACCACCAACACAGATAAGGTAACCTATACCAAGGCAAGAAAAGATATATACCATACTAGCTACGGATGTAATATCTTTTAGCATGTACATTTTACCAGTGCGCACAGAGTAATAACAAAAACCAATCTCTCGCTATAACCCAAAAAATCCCTACAACATCCCAAGAAAAACAGAAGAGTCGAGGAGACGCTCAACCCCCAACTCACATCCCATAATAACCCCCTTAAACCCCCCACATCTCCCTAACTACATACATACCATCCAACCCACCATCTTCAACCCCCTCTAAAGCGCACCAAGCAATCAATTCATACCAACCACACCTAGGACCCATTCACGAAAAGAATCAAGACAACAGAGATTTTGATACTATGAGTATTTCTTGTTTATTAACTATCATGATACACTCCTCTCACCCCCGCCCACCACCCCCATGCCGGGGGGAAAACAAGATACATTTCCCTGTATCCCGCTTTTTCTGTTGTGTTGGGGGTAGGGCTAGCTGGGTTGGTGTAGTGTACTGAGATCTCTCTACGAAGCCTGAAGGAAGAGAAGAGAAGAGAATATTCACACGTCGCCACCAACCATACCATCTCCTCACACACCCTCCGTCCCCCCACCTCCATAGAGTCCCTCTCATCTCACCCTCCAACCCTCCAACCCTCCCAGCCCATCCACCCCCACTCCATCACCCCCTACTCAAAAACATCCCCAATACACCGATCCACCAACAAAAACGGCCACGGCACCCACTCACTCTCAAAAAACGCATCCACAACCTTCTCCTCAAGGCCCATACACGCAATCCTCGGCATCTTCCACCGGATAATCGCAGGATCCCACTTCATCTCTTCACTGATACCCCCGTGGCGCGCGTGTTGCATCCAGGGCTGCGTGAGGGGGTTGTAGATGGCGTGGTCGTGGAGGGTGTGCAGAGGTTGGAGATGCGACCATGATTGCTTGAGGGCTTGATATTCGTCTTCCCAGCGGGTGGTTGCGGAGCGTAGGAAGGGGAAGAGGGGGATGGTGGGATACCAGGATTTTTCGGCCCATGCTGTGAGGGGGTGTTAGTTGGAGTGGGGGCGAATAATTTTTTGAATAAAGAGAGAGAGAGGGGAGAAAGGGTGTCTGATAAAGTAGAATGAGGAAAACTTACCAGGTAAGGGATCAGTGTACTGAGTATAAAGAGCCGTATACTCCACAAGCCCACTAAACACAATTCTACTCAACCCCCCAAATCCCGTTCCTCTATCTCTCCCTCTTGGCTTCACACAATCCTCCTCCAACTTCTGAATCATTCTTTGCTCATCATCTTCCGTCATCCAGTAAAGTTTGGTATCAACCATCAACCGCTGCACCTTCGCGAGATCCCCCCGGTCACAATGCTTACGGAAGTATATATGGCTATCCTCATCCAACAAATTTCGCCCTAGTAATAACGTATCTTTCTCAAAGTTGAATGGCACCAAGGGATCTTCGTAATTGACTGAGAACGACAACGGGTAGGACTTCAAAGTTTCGACACGCGACTCTCGACATACATATAGATTAGCAACACGTTGAGCCGCTCCGTAGAACTGACAATTCCCCTGATATTCAATCAACTCGACCAGTCTCGCATCTGGGCAACTCAGATTCCATATCATGAGTCGGAGCTTCTTTGGGAGCTTGTGGAAAAGGTGAAAGACAATGACAGGCACGTGCTCGGTCTCGACCATCTGGGAGAGTGAAGTCTTCTCTTCAATGTCGTGCTCTACATTTTCGTTCCCTTGACTTTCGTAGTCAATGATTCGTTGGATCGCGTCCATGACAGAGCTACTGTCTGAGACTGGGGAGTTGTTTTTGGGGCCGAATGGCAAGTCGAAGAAGCCTTTGAGGTTGCGTGTGTTTAATGGAGCGAGTTTGAGTCTGGAAGCTCCTCCGCTTGCGCGGTCCCAGATGGGACTGGCAATCTTTGCACAGGAATCGCTTTTGTCAGCCAAGTCGTCATCGAAGAAAGGTTGTCTGTCGGGAAAAAGTCGAAACTTTTTCAGAGCATAGTGGTCAAGGAGAGTCGCGCCGCCGACTTCATCTGGCTCTTCTAGTGAAGGCATCTCGTGATTGAGCTCGACCCCGCCAACTGTGCTTGAGTCGGTCGAGACATTCATGTCATCCTCATCCTCGAATCCCTTAGTCATGGTCCGTTCTGTCGAAGAAGGCATTGCAAATATATGTGGTGGGTGCAGATCGAAAGTTAGCACTGTCAGTATAAAAGAGCAAGTAGATCGGGCTGTGAGAGTATCGGTCGGCAACAAAACATCAGTGGCCATAGTAGCCGCAAAGCGAGACCGTCAACCATCCAACAGAATATTTCCACACAGCCACCAGGTGAAGGTGCGACTACAACGATTAAATGACATGGGTATTACTTGCTTTACAGATTCACTCGTAAATGACAAAGGAGATAGCACGCTTCATACCATCTCATAATCTGGCTCTGCTGGGTTGACTTCACTCTTGACTCCTGCGAGTCCAAGAAAGAATTCTGATAAACCCCAAGCTCCAGGATCCGGAACTTGTTCAAATCCCGACCCTCCAATATACACAGTTCTTCCTAGACTGGCTTTCATACCCTTGGTACTCTCTGCACCTTTTCTAGCTGCTTCAGCTGCCTTGGTGAGATCACCCGTTGAGTTGAGTACGTCAACGAATAGTTGCAACGCATCCACCAACGTCCGGTCTCCAACTTTTGCTGGAGTATACCTACTCAAGGCAGCAGAGGCTTCTGCCGCAGCTTCTCCCCAGATTCTAGGACTGACAACACCTGAGGAAGCTCGTTCTCTAAGAGCGCGTGTCAAAGAATTGAGATAGATGGCATACAATGCCCCTGAAGTACCATCCATCGTAACTTCGACCGTTTGTACCATCTTAGTCAGGTCTACCACAAGATCTTCAGATAGTGGTGTGTCTTCGAGAAATTTCAAGATACCTGCATCTGGTTAGCCACGATTACGCCAAATAAAGGCTTCAAATTTCAACGTACTTTCAGCGCCTCTCTTGAGACCAATACCGCAATCGCCATCACCAACAACGGTGTCGAATCTTGTCACGTCAGGTTCCGCCTCAACAACTCTCTTCAGAGCACGAGTCAAAGCGATGTTTGATACTTGAGGGTCATGTTTCAGTCCACTTGGTTTGATCTCGCCATTCTCAGATACTGTTGACTCTCTGGTTTTTGCCGATTTTGCTTCCCATGTTTCTTTTCGGATTGGTGCTGTCCATCCTGCCGCTTCACATGGTGCATCCAGCAATTCAATCATACTTGGTCCTCCGATGTCCGTGTTGACGACGTTGAGAATGCTTATACTGAAGCCATTGCCATTCAGTGAGGTCATGTATGTGCCTGCCAACACCCGCACTGGTTTGATATTCCACGTCTTCTCTAGCTGTCCAACCACCTCCGCAGTAATTCCTCCCAACTCCAAGACACTAACACCGCCAAGGTTGTTGATGAGGAGGACCACTTCGTTCGAATTGACATTCAGGAATGCCCTTTCTTTATCATTTGAATCCAGAAGCTGCAGAAGCATCCGTTTTACCAACTCGGGAAGATCAACCACGGCCCTGCCACTTCCTGGCTCATTATGTATTCCCATGCCGATTTCAACCTCGTCTACGGCCAGCGTTCCTTCGGCATTGGGATCTGAGGGAGCTCGTCCCGGGACATGAACATGCTCCAAACTAGCTCCGACAGAAACAATGTTTTCGGCTGTCAGTTTAGCAACACTGTAAACCGAAGTCAGACTGGCTCCTGCTGCTGCTAGAGCCCCGGAGATTTTGTGAACCAAGCATGTCCCGGCAATTCCTCTCCGCCCAACCTTTCCTGCTTTTGCTCGCCCTACACCGACATCATCTCCAACGACCAGCATTTCCACATCCAGCCCAGCAGCCTTCGCCTTCTCCACGGCCACTCCAAAATTCAAGACATCGCCAGTGTAATTCATCACCGTAACCAGGATGCCTTTTTCTGTGTCTACCCTCGACATAACCGCCTTCCGGATCTGCTCGGAACTTGGGGATGCAAAGATTGTACCCGCAACACCCGCAGATAACAAGCCAGCGCCGACGAACGCTCCAAAGCTTGGTTCATGGCCACTTCCACCTCCAGAGATAATGGATACCTGTGCTGGTGCATCATCGGGTCTTCTGTATACGATTTTGTTCGCGGCATCAAGAGCGATGGAGGGATTCGTGATGGTTAGAGCCTTCAAAGCTGAGTTGACCAGATGGGTCGAATCGTTGATGAAATGTTTGCTCGACATGTTCAATGTCGGGGTACGAGGTACTCGAGTACTGTCAGAGGGAAGATTGGGGAAGGTGCAGGTTTCTACGTCGGACTAAAGAGGGGGGATGGCATTGGTTTTGTACACAAATGGCATATGACATCACCCCATATTGCAACATGGCAATGGGTGGTACATGCACACCAGACACTCCAGTATTCAATAGCTCTTGCCACCCCCACCCAGGTTGGCTCGGATTGGGTACAGTAGGTAACTGCCCAGATGAGGGGTGAGGGGTGAGGGGTGAGGGGTCATGCAGGGGAAGAGCTCCTCTAGTAGGTATAGTAAGCGAGGAAGAATCTCGCACCCACGAACGCCTCAAGAAGCCGCTGTCTTCATTTGGTGGATGCGGAGTAATGGCCGAGATTCTGACACAGAATAAAACCCAACCCCAGGTCACACCAGAGTCTAGAACATTGTTTCGTGGCTTCACAACCCCTCCCTAATTGCCAATTGGAGACCTTGAACATTGCAAACAGTACATTCCAGAAAAGCTTCGCCGTCTGGACTCTTAATAACCTCATAACTAGGGGATTGGGAGTAGGTATGGTGATGACGTAGAAAGGTCCACAAGTGAAATCTCGTTGAAGTGACGCCTGTCAACAATTTTTCACAGGTCCAGCTAAATTTCCCCGCGATACTCCATACTGGCCAAGTGTGAGTGGCCGTCTGGGGAAAACGCCCCACTTCACCCCTGCAAAATATTTCTCCATGATCCATCTGAAGCTCCCGCCTGAACTCAGCTACCGCAAAACCATCGCAACCCCCAAAATGTCGCAAACACTCGCCATCGCCGTCCCAGGCCAAGTCCTAGGAACAGTCAGCGACTTTCTTCCTGGTCCAGGAACACACATTCACGACGCCAAACTCTACGCCTCAATCCTCGGGCCCATCAAAACAACGACCCCTCCCAAGCCCGCCGGGCCTCAGAAGCGATTGACCAAAATCACCGCTGCGACACCTGCGGTGCTCCCTACGGTGTCAATCGAGCAAGATATATCTGCGAATAGTGGGAAGGATGGGGCCGGGAAGGAAGTCCTGCCGGAGGTGGGCAGTACGGTGCTTTGCAGAGTGACGAGAATTCGACCCAAGGAAGCGACGGTTGCGATTCTGGTGGTTGGGGAAACGGTGTTGAATGGGGAGTGGCAGGGCCTGATTAGGGTACAGGATGTGAGAGCTACGGAGAAGGACAAGGTGAAGATCTTTGAGAGTTTTAGACCGGGTGATATTGTGAGGGCGATTGTGGTAGTTTTTTGCCTCGCATTGAACCTAAGACAGGAGCGCAAACTAATTTTGGATGCAGATATCTTTGGGAGATCAAGCGAATTATTACCTCTCGACCGCAAGCAACAACTTGGGCGTTATTATGGCTACGAGTGAGGCGGGTAATTCTATGTATCCAGTCAGCTGGAAGGAATATCGAGATCCTGAGACTGGAGGAAGCGAAAGTCGAAAAGTCGCGAAGCCTTTCTAAAAAAAACCCGTGTGAAGGAAGATTGGTGGGTATATTCGCATAGCGGTTGGAGCTGGGGTTTTCAAGACGGTTCACGTCTTTTAGGGAATTCTATTCGATACTTTTTTTTGCAATACCGTTGATGAACAATTCGAACAAATACCAATCCCACCTTGGAGCCCTTTCATGTCTGTGTTGCAGCACAGCTTCACTCTCCACGTCCTCGTACTTGCTCACGCCCCTTTACACCTATCGACGTAATCGTATATTTGCCACATCCGCCCCCTAGGTTTCGCTAGGGGGCTTGAGTGAATAGAGACTGAGCTGGGACGTTGGCTTCGCTTAAATTGATTCATCATATGGAATGACAATGAGTTTGCTGAACATTTACAGTCTTATTTCATGGTCAGTGCGCGCTTTATACCAACTTCGAATTGACCTGGTCGTTTCTCGTGCCCTTCTATTACCTGTATATCTATCATTATTTTGCCCGTCCTATGTTCATTAAGCCGTTACTTCCACCTCTTTTCTTCCCTTGACGATCCATGTTTTGATTCTGATCCGAACTCAGGCCCATTTCCCAAGTAAACCCATCAGTGCCATTCCCCCCACCAATCCCAACAGTCCCCAAACCGTCTTCCGCAGACCCGCATCCCTCAGCTCTCCATACAACCAATCCCCTGCCCACATATCCACAAACCCAACCCACAGCAAAATCCCCGCACTAATACTATCCAACGTTCCAATCGCCACGATCGTCCCTGGCGAATTCCCGTTAAACTTCTTAAGAACACCAACACCAATGGCCATTCCAATGGGAGTAATGAATGCAAAGGCAAGTGGCAGGATGTAGTACTTGATTTTACTCATGCCTGATGCCGAGAGGGATGCGATTCTGGCTCCTAGGGCGAGACCCTCGAACATCTGGTGAAAGACGATTACCACGAAGAGGACACCGAACACGCTGTCTCCAGCCACGACGACAGTGATTCCGATGAGAAGGGAGTGGAAGATGATTCCTGCTTCTAGGACGAGGACGGAGACGGCGTCGTTTGTGTGTGGTGAGAGGCCTGGATGGCCGTGGTTATGACCGCTGATGGCGGGTGGAGCTACTGCTGTGATATCTTCTGTGGGGTTTGCTGCCTTTTCATTGACGCTAGAAGAAGGTGAGTTCTCGTTGTCCGCTCCGGCTGTCTTCTTCTGTCGCCATTTTGCGAGTTTTCGAGCGAGGAGATCTATGGCGAAAGCTATGAATGCTGATGCCATGGCGATGGCAGTCGCTGTGGCCTCGTACTTTAATTCTCCAAGGCAGGTGTTGGCGAACATCATCTCGGCGTGGGTGAGAAGCTAGTACTTATTAGTCTCTGTTCTACACTTGACTTGGAGAAAGCAAAACTACTTACATGAACGAGAGCAGTGGCAATGATCACTCCGGTACCAAATTGCTTAATCACTGTGAAAATCGTGCCGGAAGTGTTTACCTTGAGGAACTCCTTCATGAGCATTGGTGCGTATACAGCTACTCACGTTAATATCTTAAACCCCAAATGATAGTATCTGCTTACCGATGAGACTGGTAGCAAGCATCACGAAGATGAGACCGATTCGCAGGTTGACCCTGTAATCTCTGTCTCTCCTTTCGCAATTGGCTTCAGCTTCATGTGCGCCTCCGCCTGTACAATGTCTGAAGATCCATCAGCTCAAAAATACAACCAAAGGACTGGGACTTTGTATACATACTCCACTCCAGCGTGGAAGTGACAATCTTCTCCGCCTGCCTCTTCTCCATGGGCATGGTCTTCATGTCCGGCTTCTGTGGAGGCGTCGGCTACAATCTCGACTTCCTGGCCATCTGGTGCCATACAGAACCTGGAAGATAAGGTTAACGAAAGATCTCAAAACGGCATGGTTCTTGCTCTGATACTTCAGACATCTAAAGCAACTTACGTTTCTGCTCCGTGAGCATGACAGTCGTTGTATGACTCTGGAAGAGGCGTGATTCCAGTTGGAGTTGCCTTGATCTCGACTTCTGCTCCAGCGCCGTTGATACACATTCTATTACTCTGTCAGCCTTTTGCTCATTTTCTACTCACTCCACCGTCCAATCCACATACTGTGTAGCCTCATGCATATGGCACGCTGTAACCGCAGTGGTCTGAGCTGCGGCTGTTGTACTCGCTGGGACCGAACTTGGTGCTGTAGGTGTAGGTGTAGGAGAATTCGTGGGCAAAGCTACGCTACTAGACGTGGAGATTGTCGTCTCAGCTCCACCTGGAAGAAAACATACTCTGTAATTTTGATTAACCACCAATCTTGTTATAGATTCAAAGATGCGATAGCGACTTACTCTCGTCCATTATCAAGATGACATCCAGTAAGTGTAAGCTGAGCAAACACCGGCGCAGAGAGCGCAGCAACAACAACAACCGCACGTGAAAACATGCTGGACGGCATCATATATGTATCGTATACCCGTTCAACCCTAAAAAATCACAAAGACCCAAAGACGTTGACCCAAATCCAATCTCGCGACAACCCAACAGTCCTGAAAAGGTTCCGTAGATATCTGTGGACTGCAAAAAGAGGCAGCATCAAACCTACTTCTACTGCACACTCCCAAGGGCAAACGAGAATTTTCCCAATCCGTCATCTCCCCTCCCTCCGCCAGATCCACAAAAACGATAAACAAACCACTGAGGCACCATGAACTTTTACCTCTTGTCCATCCCGGTCCCCTCGTTCAAGGACCTTCCAAGGCCGCGAAGACTGCGAGGTAAGCATCACGCGGCCTTGGCATTACATATCCACACCCCTCCTACCCTTTCCACTCCCATGACTACAAACCCCATTCCAGGAAACAGTGACAAAGTCCTCCCAATCATTCGCCGAACACGTTTTTTTTTTCTCTGCTAGCGGCGGTGAGGATGAATTGTTTTCCGTGGACGTCGTGGTGGAGTGAGGGAACCAAGACTTGGAGAGTGGAGGGAGAGGGGCTTGGCTGTACCTTGATGGATAGGTGGAGGGGGGGTTGAGGACCTGGATGGGTAGAGGGGGACAACGTTTCTTTCATTGTGGTTTTTTTTTATTAGGCAGGTGGTTGGTGTTGGGCAGTGTTGGTGATGATGGTGGCTGGGAGTTTTTTCATGAAGTTTGGAATACAGATTTTGGGGAATTGAGGGATGGGACTCGCTTATTTTTGGGTGGAAGTTTGGGAGTGTAGGAACAGCGTATGTGAGGTGAAGAAGAGGTAGATGAGCTCGTCTTGTATTTTAAAAGGATTCAGAAGGATATCCAACTCTTGGCCATAGTGCTACTGTAGCCAAAGAAACTGCAACTTACTCTAGAGATCTCACAAAGCAACAAAACAAAGCTCCAAAAGAGCTCCATAACAACCGGCCCTACAACCTACAAACATCTTGGAAAAACAATAGAGTTGAAGAAACTTTCCCCACTATCCACAATGCATGAACCCACTCTATGCAAATCCTCTCCACTGGATCTGAAAAGGCTGGTCAATCACCCCTTGGCACGAAAACATACAGGCCCAAAAGCTGCAGGTGTAAGTTCGCAACCAGATATTGACACTTTTCATCGATTTGGTCTTGCTTCCTTTTCTCTTGGCCCATTCAGACTTTTCCACCCAAAGGCTTGGGAGACGAAATGTCCGGGTGGCGTTCCGAGGATTGCAACAGCCGGGGCCATTGCGTAGGGCAGAGAAAGGACATGACAAGATGAAGGGTTTGTGATATATAACATGACTTTGTCCCGCAAGCAAGTGAATTCCTTCAGCCTCAAGTCCAGGTCTGTCAAGAAATCTTCAAGATGTATACCTCCACCATTCTCGTGGGACTCTTCTCCCAAGCTGCTTTCTCAGCTGTCCTGCCGGTACCAATAGCTTCGCGTGACACCCCTCTCTCATTCGTCCCCGGTACCCCAGCTCAAGTCCCAGTGTCAAACGCCTACGACTGGAGAGCAGGATATGTGTCCGAATTTACGATTCACGGTTCTTGTAACGCTACGGAACGAAACCAGATCTCGCAAGGACTCGATGAAGCAGTTTTACTCGCTCAACACGCAAAGGAACACAGTAAGTTTCCTTGAAGTCAATTCCCAAGTCTCGAAAGATAAAGTACTAACGAGTTCTCTAGTCCTAGTCCAAGGAAACAAGTCAGAGATCTTCCAGAAGTACTTCGGTGCCGGTCCAACAGGCCCAGTAATCGGTTGGTTCGACCGCATCGCAACCGCCAACCGAGCAGGAGTCCTCTTCCGCTGCGACGACCCAGATCAAAACTGCGCTACGCAAGATAGTTCGTTGCCCCCCATTTCCCTTTCCGCATCACAACACCACTAACAAACCGCCACAGACTGGGCAGGCCACCACCGCGGCTCCAACGCCAGCAGTGAAACCGTCATTTGTGAACGCTCCTACACCACCCGTCTCCCACTCGCATCCCTCTGCTCCCGCGGCTTCACAATCGCCAACGGCCGCATGGCCGATTACTGGGGCGGAGACCTGATCCACCGTCTCTACCACACCTCGCCCGTAGGCGAGGAAATCATTGACCACCACGCAGACGGGTACAACAACTGTCTCGAGCTAGCCAAGGGGGAGAACTACACACTTGCCGCCAGTAACTCGGCCACTTTGTTGTACTTCGCCATGGAGGCGTATGCATTCGACATCAGCGTCCCAGGAGAGGGATGTGTAGGAAAGCCAGTTGCTGGTGCAGAAGATGGACATGGAGCGCCGGCAGCAGTAGCAGCAGCAACACCAACACCAACACCAGTTGATCCTGTGGCGCCAGCTGAGACTACAGGTACTTCTCCTGGGGCGGCGGCGATTAACCCAGTGAGAATTATTCCTGCGGAGAGTACACCTGCGCCTGCTGCTGCGGAGCCTGCACCTGCGGGAGCTCCGGGACAGGAGTGCCATTACCATGGTACGACCTTGCACTGTGTTTAGGAGGTTGGTAATGATATCATAATAAACGACATTGATGGAAAATGAAAAAGGGTAATTTTTAGGGATAATAGAAAAGGGGCTTTGGGAATGTAATAATGAATGGAAATTAAATATGACAGAGGGCTTGCGAAATGAATGATTGTGACTAAACTTATGGCCATCGACTATCTTTTCAAGCACAAGCTCCTCTGGTCGTATATACATAGGATTATGAGAATGTTGTTGGTAACATTCCTGGAAAAGAAACCAAAAAGCAAAATAGCCGATTATCTGTGGTAAACAATCAATGTTATTGGTGAGTGGGCGTATTAGAAGTATGACTTTGAAGAAATAGCGTATGGCAGAGAGATTTTGTGCTATATCAGGATCTGATTAAGTTCATCGAGACGCAAGAGGAACAAAAAAGAACCGACAGCCAATACGAGGTCCGCCTTCATTGCCAGCTCCGGGAACGTCCATATTTGTTCTAGGATTTATGGCATTAAGGTACTGAGAAATAACCGTTGGAAAAAAAATCAAAAACATCTAATGGTTTCCAGAAAAAGAGTTTTCGGGGAGGCCTAATCTCCTAATTTTGTCCCCGCTGGGGGTCAACAGAAAATCAGGATGATTGTGGCAAAAAAGAAAAAAAGAAGAAAAAGAAGAAACCAACAGGAGAGATAGGCAACATATAATAACTATCCGCTTCTCCTTGTTAAACTGTCAAAGTGGTATGCAATTGGTTACATTATTTGTCCATCGTTAGCATAGAAAACAGCCCATCACATAGGCCCTCGGATTCTGTTCGACTGGACGCCTGGCACGCCATATCCAGATGATTGCCGAGATGTAGTGACAAGATGGTATCTTCATTGACTTTTATCTTCAACGCCATTGTATTCCCATAGAGCCGCTCTGTTAAAATTGTCATAATCCCGCCGAAATTCCCAATGTAATTCTCTCAACTCAACAGAACGAGAATAACTGAATCACCACGCAGAAACCTACAGTGCAAAGTATTAGCATCTTTTCTGGAGTCCTCAATAAGACTTGACCCAGTGGCTGTTTCAAGGCAATGCAGACACCGCCAATTCCGCCAAGAGAATCCAAACTCACATCTTGCTAATAAATCGATCCTTGTTCACAGGTCTTCCCTTCTTTCCAGCGCTATTTCTTGGTGTCTCTGTCCACATTTCCTTCACATTCTCCAAGACCATATTGCAATGTCTGTCAAAGGCCTTGACACGCGCAAGCAATTTGCGATTGTTTCGGCAGGATATTAGGACCTGGGCATGCGAACGAACAGCCGTCTGAAGAATAGATAGAGGACCGGAGGTGAACTCATGCTCTTCGAGTTGAGCAATCTCGAACTCGCTATCAGAAGCGTTAGTATGGGGCAACCTGATGCGCGGGGTGGAGGGGAAGCGCGACGCACGTAAGTTCAGCACGAGGCTTGGAGAGAAGTTCTCTGCGCGAAAGTTAGCATTGATCGTCTTAACTAGAAGTGGAGTTGCGAATTCATACTGGATCTTTGCTGCGTCGGCCATGGTGTCGTTGTCGTTTTTATTGATACAACAACTTGAGCTTCCAGCCTTGCTTGATGGTCGTTAACAAAATCGCGTGGGTAGCTTCCAAAGAGGATTAGCGCCACAACCTTATTTTGCCGTACCAAAGCCGAGGCGGACCGAGGAAAGTTGCCCACCTGCCCGCGAGAACCTCGTTCATCTTCCATTTTCAATGTGACATAGCCTTCACATTCTCTTTCCTCCCCTTCCTTTTCATTGTCCCAATACTTCTATGTTCAATTAAGCGCCCAGTTCGTATCTTGATGTTTGCGAGGTCTCTCTACTCGAGGTCGGCGGTGCGCGGCTGTCGCCCAAGTAGTGTTGCGACAATGCCTCTGAGAGCTTCTATCAACCCCAAATTTCTAGGTAGCGGTACCGCCAATGTATGCACTAGCTGAGCCGCCGAACAAGTTCTGTACTGATGTAACATGTCAGATGGCTACAGAGTCAATATTCCAGGCTAAAGAACCTGAGGCGATAAGAGAGCTGCCAGAGGACCCCAAAGAGGACGTTTTGTTTGATACCCTATTCGGACTGCGTACGATCGAGCTCAATCGACCCGAAAAGCTACATGCCCTCAGTGGGTCAATGATTCGCAAAATTCTGCCACGTTTGCAGGAATGGGCGAAATCGGATATGGCAAATGTGGTGGTTATCAAGGGCTCTGGAGAAAAGGCATTCTGCGCTGGGGGGGATGTTGTCACATTGGCAAAGGACAATAAGGAGGGTCCCGAGGGTCAGCAAAAATCTATCGATTACTTTGCACAGGAATATAAGCTCGACCATCTCATTGCAACATACTCTAAGCCTTATGTGGCGTTCATGGACGGCATAACAATGGGTGGTGGTGTTGGATTGAGTATACACGCTCCATTCAGGATCGCCACAGAGAGAACACAATTTGCAATGCCCGAGACAACCATAGGTTTCTTTCCGGATGTTGGAGCTTCCTTTTTCTTGCCACGGATGCCTGGGGGTGTGGGGACATACCTTGCTCTTACTAGTGATAAACTAAAGGGCGCAAATGTTTACTATGCCGGTGTTGCGACACATTACATACACTCTACATCCCTTCCTGCACTGGAGCGTCGACTTGCCGAACTTCGTTTTAAGGACTACTTGTCATTAGACGAGCGAATACAACTCATCGATTCAACTATCGAAGAATATAGTACCGGGCTTCCCCACGACGAGCCAATACTTCTCGGTGGCCGCCTTCGAAATCTCATCGACGATGTATTTGGCAAATCAAAGAGCGTTACTGAGATTGTCTCCAAGTTGAAAGTGTTGGCTAAGTCGACTATAAACACAGTAGATAGAAATTGGGGGCAGAAAACTCTTACCACACTCTCTAAACGATCACCAACAGCAGTTCACGTGGCGTTCCGACAGATGCAACTTGGCCGGAGATGGTCGATCGCCGAAACATTCCAACGAGAACACCAAATTGCTGCAAAATTCATGAAATACGGCGATTTTACGAAAGGCGTGTATGCTCTGCTTATTGACAAAACACAGAAGCCAGAGTGGGACTTTGAGACACTGGAGGGCTACCAAATAGCACAGGCGAAAAGTTCAACGGATCTCACCGATTCATTTTTCAGGATCGAGGGCGAAGGTGCACAAAGATTGCAGTTGCTGACTGATGGGGACTACCATCGATACCCACACTGGGGATTTGGGATTCCACAGGAGGCTGAAGTTGAGCGCTTTGTTAAACTAGGCGGAAAGACGGTGAAGCAAACTATCGATCACTTTGTGGAGCAAAAGCGGGGGAAGCAGGGCGTGCGCGAAGTCATGATGGACATCATGTCAAGAAAGACGTATTCAAAGAATGGCAAGGCTTATTGGGGAAGGCAACCACTAGATCAGCCTAAAGCCCGAAGTCCGAAGGTCGCGGAGTAGATGGATGATGATAGTGGCAAATGATGGATAACCCGGTGGATGTAGTAAATATTGAGATATTACCGGGCGCAAAGGAAAAGCGAAGCTTAGCGAAGAAAATGAGTTGTCATGTGATCTATGAAAGGGGGGGGATGGGCTGAGTCATAGGCGAGAAATAGTCGAAGTGAGCAAACATCTCTAGCGAAAGTATATAAAGGCCCCGAAGCCCCCTCAAAATATTTGGGGAACCATTTCTTGATGGTGGGCCGTTGCTGTGCTGCCTTCCATTTCCATTCCATCCAGTAGATCCCTCTCTTCAGGTTGCCGCCTCCCCTGTCCAAGGACGGAGTTTCTTTTGCCGATCACGTTCCAGGCTGAGCTGTCCTGGCGCTTCCATTTCACGACTCACAACCTTGCCTGGCAGGGCAGCACTTTGACGTGCTTGCGTGCATATCGGCTAGCCGCTAGTGTCACTCTCACCTGCAGGGTCTGGGGTCGGAGAACTTGAGAACTATCCGCCGACCTTGAATTGATTGCTCTTGTCTCGCAATTGGACAAAAGTTCAACATCAACACTTCCCTCCTCCTGCTCCATCCCCCTACCTGCAACTACCTACAACCACCTCCACGATCCCTTCCAAAGCAGTGCTACGGAATACTTCAGTTTATGAACTTCTTCTTGTTTTACACGTGTTCGCTGTCTCAAATTACGACTCTTTCACGCCATCTTCGCGTTACGGCGTTCTGACCCGAAATTCTCGTTCTCTCTACGCGTAAAGTCTTAAGATCGCGTACTGGCTACGGCCACCGACCACCACCTTTTCCGCCCTGACCTCTTCCTCCTCTTCAACCACAGCCACGCCCTTCGTTCTCTCCAAACCTCCAATGCCTTTCCGATCTGTACAATAATTCTCCAGAAGCTTCAGGGCAGCTTCAACTCTTTTGAGAGGATAGGATTTAAATGTCGTCTCCTGCCAACCTACCCATAGGAGGCCCCACCTCTACATGGTCAAATGGCGGCCACCAGAGCTCAATTTTGAACCCCAACGCTGCGAGTAATGAGGATGGAGTGACTGTCCGACCTATGAGGCGTAGGTGTTCACGGTAATAATTAATTGCAAGTGGTAGTTGTGCTGACAGTCGCTTGCTCTCACAGTCAAGGTTCTCTATACTTTCGACGACGAAAATAAAGTCAATTGTTTGGCACGATGGCCTCACGTTCTTCAAGTACAAACGGTCGCCATGGACGAGGCCAATTCCATCGGGGTCATTAAGTTAAAGACGTGTATAGAAGCAATCGTTCAATGCAGTCCAGAACTCGTTGCTAGGCTAGGCAAAGACTACACCGTTTACGCTTACGATTACTCTGAGTACGACACTCCTCTCGTTGGGCAGGGAATGCTATCCTGGGCTCTGGCCGCAGCTACTTCGACCTCTGATGCGTCATCACAACAATCCGCTAAGCTTATTACTGGAAGAGTGTGCAAGAATATTCTTGGGCTGTTCTCAAATGGCGTCAAGGAAACCCTTGAAGTCAAATTACGACTGGTAGCTGTTCCTACAGTTTCACAAAGCCAGTATGTGGATGCCATGGAGAAATATCGAGAGATCAGCAAGGTGGTACCGGCAGGGCTGGACCCCAAGGACTGGATGAATTTCATTCGATCAAACCCAAATATTGGTCAATCAGTATCTGACAAAGCAACCCCGACACCGTGCGCCCTTCCTACCCAAGGCCAACGGGATGGGACTAGCATGGAGGTTGTTAATCAGCTGTTAAGTCCTAGCTTACAGCAACAGCCTATGATGTCTAATATGGATAGCAATGCCAATCAGAGCTCCGGCGAGACTGCTGCTGGAAAACCGGAGAGAGCACCTCGTCCTTCACGAGCCGGAGTCAAGAGGCCCAGGAAGCCCCGAGCTCCCAAGAATGCTCTTGTTCAAGGAGGAAATACTTCCGGGTACGAGGAGGGCACCGATGGCGATGATGCTCCTTCAAACCGAAAACGAGCAAAGATCACCCAGACGGATTGGAATAGTAAATCAGCAATCGGCGACAAGTCTGACTCGCTTAGAGTAGCTGCAAGCACTGCAGGATCCTTACGCTCGTTCCGCCCAATCGCAATGAACCCCTCTGCTGCAGGAAGTCATCTCCAGGAAATCCCTCGAGCTCCAACACCTGTACCCAGGGGACCAAGTCAACAACTGTCGCGGGATAGCCGACCTCCACAAAGTGGAATGCGACATGAATCATTCTCTGCTCCATCAGCTGATACCCGTCGACATGTATCCCCTTACCCTCGCTTGGACAATCCACAAGACCAATTGAGAACCTCAATCGAGGAGTCTATACAAACCTCCCCAGAACGACAAGATAGCCCCGTTGTGACCCCGCCTGGCATTGGATCATCGCCCCCCGTTATGAGAACTAGACCTCCTTCCATGATGCGATCTAGCCCCCCTTGTCCATCGAGTCCTGTCTTGCCACAATTGCCTCGAACTGATTCTGGCTTCATGAGTGGCTCGATGGAAGAGCTCTTTGGAGAAGGAGAAGACGAACCTCTGCATTTGGACGAATGCCCTGAGGTATCTCCAGAGTTACCTCGACATCGTACAGCGCCTCCGCCACCTCCACAACCCGCCCAAGTTTTTGATTCGGGTTTCGTTATTGAAGAAGAGATGCCAGGTCCGATGGAGCTTCTGCCGACCAAGATGCCTGTCAGACCTGAGCCCAAACCACCGTCAAAACGTAACCAGGCTAGAGCAGCCAGTCGTGCAGCTAGTCGTGCATTAAGCCGCGCGAATAGTATCGCATCAGACGATGGCCAAGTACTTCCTCCATTGAGGAGAGAAGAGGGATTCACACCAAGCGGTCTTTCGATGCCTGTGTATGTACCTCCGCCTCAACAAGCGCAACAAGGTCCAATCACTCAGCAGTCTCAGCGCCCATTGTCTCGACCAGTGTCTCGTCCTGCTTCTAGAGGTGACGCCAAAGGATCATCACCAGCCCCTGTAGCACCTCCTCAAAACCAGCCCACCAATGTACAGGCAGCTTCTGTCCAGAATCCAGCACCGCAAGCAAGACCTGCACCTAGGCAGATTGTCCGTACCGCGTCGCTGGGGGCACTCACTCTTCCTGAATTACCTCCTAGTGATCCTGTTCTACCTCCATCAAACCTTCACCGCTCTCAAACATGGTCAGAGGCAGCACATACCGTACCTGAAGCATCCGCACCCGCTGAGGCATCAAATGAACCTCCTCCGTTGATATACTATATGTCGCAATTCCCAGATTATTATCCTGGGATGGACGTCAACAGCTCAGAATATGCACGTCTTTCCAAAAAGGCATCTATCAGACAGAAATTGGAGGTTGCAATTGCCAATGGCGAGAGTCCTCCATTCTGCAACAATTGTGGTGCTATTGAGACCCCAACCTGGCGCAAATCTTGGGTTCAGGAGCGCCAAGGTCAGCCTGGTTACTATGAGTATTCAGACGCTCCGGGCAAGGTTACATGCATCAGTGTGTTGACCCGTGATGAAGGAGGAACGCCCACATCCTACCAACTCATCTATAAGGCATTGCTACCCTCTGACAATAAAGATGAATTCAAGGAATATCAGCTTTGCAATCGTAAGTCATTGATGCTACCGCGATTATCACGTCACTAACAGATATTTTAGCTTGTGGTATTTGGTTACAAAAATACAAGAGCCAGCGACCTAGAGAAAAATGGCAAGCTTACCAGTCAACGGCACGTACCCGGAATAGAAACCAAGGTGCCTACATGACATCAGATGCAGCATTCCCTCCATCAGATGCCTATGTTCCCCAATCAGAAGCGAATTTCGCCCCTCCTTTTCTCCCCCAAGCAAAACAACTTCCTCAGGGAAACACTGCTGTGCATGTCGAAGCAGGATCGCCAGTCGAGGACATCAATTATGTCGAGCGTCAGCCATCTGAAGTCTCACAAGTCGGGGTTCAGATGCAACGATCCAACAGCTCTCAGCCTCCAAAACGTTTAAAGGCAATGACTTCTGATGCTGCTCCTGCCGCCCTTAGAAGGGCCATTCAATCAAGCCCAATGAGATGGGGCACCCGGAAAAGCCCAATCAGCCTTGACGAAGAGACTCAAAGTCCCAATACAAGAAGATTGCTATTTCCTTCACCAAGAAAGCTCGGCTCACCCAAGATTTTAGGACAGTTGGCTGTTACCAATGTTGTCCAGATTTCATCGGATAGTCATTTTTCTGACAAAGAAATTATGGATGCAATTGACAAGGAGAATGAACCGCCAGCGAATGCAACCGATGAAGAAGAGGAGGACCTTGAGCTCCTAGCACTGTTTGAAGAAGAAATGGCTCGTCCTTCTACACCAAAGCAAAAGTCACCTGTGGCAAACCCTTTCAAGACTCCAACTCGGCCAACGCCAAATCATAGACCAATTACCAGGAGTATTTCAAGAACGCATCCAGCATTGTCACCCGGACAGATGCTTACTTTCGATCAATCGCCGTTGAAAACACCTACTAGGTCTGTTCGGCGATCACCAAGAAACCATGAACAAAACATGGCCATCTCCCCGTTTACTCTGCACCTCAACCAATTAATGAATGAAACAAACAACAACAACCTTTCTCCAGTACGCAACCTCGAAGCGGACTTCCAGAGACTGCAAGATGCGAACGAGAAGGGAAATGGCGGGCTCAATATGGAGGATTTCCTTTCAACCGATGTCCCAATGCCATCCTCACCACCGGGAGCCTTTGATTTCTACGATGACCCAATGATGCATCAAATTGATTGGGATGAATTTCACTCTTTCAACATGCAGCAACCACAAGAAGAAGTGCAAGTCAAAGTAGAAGAGAACGAGAGCGAGGACGGGGAGCCGTCAGCATAGGAAGATGCTAGTTTTATTTTTGTTAACTTTACTGTATTGTATAGCGTTATCAGGATGTTTTTTTGATGAGATATTTGGGGATACGATACCCGTAGCGAAAGCGATGTTGCATGTCAACATGGAGTACACAAGGAGCACACAAGGAGCATGTCTGGTTAATGGAGTCATTTACTGGATTGATTGGTGGGGTTGCTAATTGATAATTGCTATGATAGTAGCTAAAAGACTTGCAATTAATAAATAGCTCGACGAGAGAATGAAAAAAATGTATATAACAAACAACGAGTTTTGTGCTTCTGTGCATTATCTTGCGATATGAAATGCTGAAGGAAGTCTTGGCAACTCTTCACGTGTTTTCGTGTTAACCCCTCCAACCTTCGAAACTTACCTCGACATTCTCCAAACATCAACCCTCAAACCCGCACAACTTCTACACCACACCCACCAACCAACACATCAACATACTCTCCCTTCCAAGTATTCCCTGGCTTTCAATCTCCCCAATCATCTCTCAATTCTCTCTTCTACAAAATGGCCGAACCCGTCCTCTCCACCCCGCGCATCCTGGCCCCGCACCTCGACTCCTTCACCTCGCGCACCGTCCGGCTCGTCGGACGCGTCACGCAGCTCCGCGGCGACCGCGCGACCATCGACTGCGGCGGGAACATGACGGCGATTCTGAACCGCGATGCGCATCTGACCGTCGGTCATGCGGTGGAGATTGTGGGGAAGGTGAATGGGGATTTGAGTGTCAAGGTGTTGAGGAGTACGGATTTGGGGAGGGAGGGAGCGATTGGTATGTAAAATTTACTCTGTAGATTTATGGATGGTGATGGGGAGGGGGAGGATGTGAAGGGGGAGGGTGGAATTGGATGGGGCTAATTGGAAGATAGATTTCGAGGCTGTGAATGCGGTTGTTGATGCGACGCATCGGTGTAAGGAGATTTTNGAGGGGGAGGATGTGAAGGGGGAGGGTGGAATTGGATGGGGCTAATTGGAAGATAGATTTCGAGGCTGTGAATGCGGTTGTTGATGCGACGCATCGGTGTAAGGAGATTTTTTACGCGGCTGGTTGAGTGGATGCGGCGACTGAATGGAGACGATGGATGATCGGTTTATGGTTTGCAATTGTAGGTAGGAAGGGACGAGGATACGATACAATATGCTACGACGGATTGCTGTTATTGAGAGGGGAATTGGAACTCTGGAATTGTCTACCTACACTACCATGACGGGAAATTAAGGCTGGCTTTGGCTTTGGCTTGCTCTATTAAAAGGGCAGTGGTATTCCAGCGAGTGGTGTTACGGCCATCGAGGTTTGTAGTGGCCTGGTATGTGTTATTTTGCCTGGATTGAAGGTGGTGTATGAATCACCAAAATCACAATGCTGGTACAGTTTTTACTGCTATAATAACTACCCGAGTTTGGTTTCTTGATTGTATTATTCTCTAAAGAATTAAAGTTTAAAACAATTTAGCACCCCTTGATTCTATCTCCTGTCAGTCTCTTTAGCATCTCATCCCGAATTCGTGGAGTTTCCATCTAAACGTATAACATAACCCATGCAGAAAAGCAAAAAAATCAGACCCCTCCCGCTAAACGACCAAACGAATGCCCATTATGCCCTCTAAATGCTAAATCTTTCCCAATCTCATCTAATCCCCGAAAACCCAATTGCATGCATCGTCACTTCCTCTTCCCCTTCCCATACCATCCATCTACGCACTGAAATACTCACTATTCTCCGTTTCCGCCCCAGGGCTAGCAAACCCCATCCTAACGCCCCTCACCGTATCATTATCATCATCTCTATACCTGCCCTCGCCCCTCTCATTCGTCATAAATCTCAGTTGGCTCTGACTTCTCCCCATTGGCCCTTCATTTTCATCATTCATGTCGTTGTGGAAAATGCTACTAGCGCTTGAGAGTGGCATTTCGCCAATCCCCGTACGAGGACAGAAGATGCCTCCGTTGGTACCCTGGGTTTGCCAGGCTGTGAGGAGGACTTCGACTTCTCGTCGGGCGTCTTCGACAATGTCGTCCATGTTGATGTCGATCTTGGCGACGCCGAAGGGGTCTTCGTATGTTGCTGCTATGCCTTCAATTCCGTATCTATTCTTATTAGATGCCAATAGCTGATGCATGGGACGTCCGATTTTGACTCACAAGGTGAAAGCAACGAAAGCTACGAGTGGAACTGCCCACCAGTCCATTTCAGCGGCCATGGCAAAGGGGAGAATTCCACAAAATAGAGCGAGGGTTTGCTTGTGATGAATTCTAAGATTTTGTTAGATCTGGTAAAGTGCGACAAGTTCTGGAAACTTACAAATGTGCAACAGGAATTGGCACTAAACGAATAACTTCCATATTTCCGTAAGCCGATATGAGCTCATCCAAAGATGTAAGCATTCTTGACGAAGCCGCGTTATGAAACCACCCTCTGAAATTGGGTTAGCGAGTTACGGGTAGCGAGCAGTCTCAAAACTTACTTCTGCACGCCCTCGTTTATAAACTTCTCAACGAAGGTAGCTAGTTCAAGTGTTAGGCCTAAGCCTCTGTGCTCATACCCCTTCAACCCCATGGGTAGTAGGTCTTTGTACTCCTCAGTTGTAGCTTCCTGTCCATCGGCTGTAAGGCTCGTTCCCGGACTTAAAGCGACACCCCACTCAGCTCTCAAATGGTTCTTAATAGTATAGAGCATAGCAATCAAAATCTTGACTGTCTCAATCGTACGCGTCTCCTCCCATTTGGTACACAAAGCTCCATTTCCAGCTGTAACACCAGAACTCTCCCGTGTTACCGAGAAAGACGATTGAGTCCTGATATTTTGCGGAAGCATGCTATCAGTGGATAACACGGAATGAAAAGATGGGAGCTCCGGAGGTGGTACCAAGACCAGAAATTGCCGGGAGAGACATCGAATGGCTGTTGTTACTTTATTGAGATGGATTCTTCCGCCCCAGAACCGAGAGTATGCTGTTTGGTTGCGGAATACCAGCATGAGACCAACGACTATAGAGAGTGAGGGTATCTAAATGCCTCAAGTCAGTCGTGCACGTGCTAGTAAACAACCCAGGCCATTTCTGGGAGTCGGGACTCACGATACTGCTAGGAAGGTTGAAGTCGCTGTTTATGTGTTGGTTGACGTATACAATGAACGCTGCTAGTAATGCATGGATTGTAACCGGCAAGAGAATAGCTATAAAACTTCAGTATCTGAGTGTGGTAAGGGAAGTGCCAAACTTGGCGCTCAAGAAGGAGGGCAAAACATACTGCGATGGATCGACCCTTTTGTGAACCTCAATACCAACGGCCATCTGTATCAAATCATTAGAAAAACTTTTTCTCGTACACTATTTGCCACATCCAAAGATCGGGGCTTGCAAACCTTCGATCCTTCTTTCGCGAACTGCTGCTCAGAGGAAAGGTATGTTGACGTTGGCGACGATTACTGTCCTTGCGTCTAAATACGCCCACGGGCGGAAAAAGACTTGAGGCGAATGAGACGGACATCTCAAATGATCTGTGTCTTATCTAGAACACATGTCACAAGTGGTCAAGGCACAGGCAGTTGGAGATCGTCTTTGGCTACTGTATTGATGCCAAAGTTACCTTGGTACGAGGACAGTACCGAGCGTCTGAGCTTGGCATGTTAGCTTGGTGGCTTCTTGCAACGCGCCGAGTCAGTTTCACCAAACCAAGAAACGTGCCACAAATGTTATTGGAACCAGGGATCGTTGGAAAGGAACATCTCATGGTTATCACAGTCTACAACTTAGAGAGCCAGAAATATTATTATGTAAGGAGTTTGGTATTGTACGTGAAGTACGGCCCTCGAAACTTTTCCGTTCCAGGGTGAGATAACTAGAATTACAGACGCAGGCTTGTCCCTCAATGCCCTTAATGCAAAGCCTCCCAAATCCACTGATATACAATTACGACCATGATTCACATTTTGCCCGTCCATCCCAGTATTCATGTTCGTAGTACCACATTCATTATCCCATCATTATAGAGCCGGCTTAGGCTGATTTAGCGAAGCATCAAGTTGAGCTGCGGTTGAACCTTCAGCAAAGATCTAATTCGAGGTTAGTATCGATCGCAAAAACGGATGGACATGAGATGCCGTATAACACATACGTCCTTGGTTCCCTGCTCTCTCATCTTCATCTCGTTCTCCATCTCAATAACGCCCTGCTCCTCAGCAAACGCCAATGCCCATGGCACACCCAACATCAGGGCGCCTGTACTGATGACATAAAGGAAGGATCCGCTGAAAAATAGACTCTTCTTGACGAAGTTGGTAGTTGTGTCGACTTTATCGGAGATGTATGTTCGGGTGGTAGGCGGAACTATATCTCGAAGCGCACGCAATCGATCGACGAAGGTTTCTCCCTCAGTTATCTCATCCTCATCATCTGTGGAGATCTCGGATTCTAATGCGCCGGTTAGCAATGGGTTGGCGTGCTGTATGCATGGTGCACAAACCGGTATCTGTGTAGTAATCGTCCTCGTTCTCTTCTGGGCCAACCTGCTTTGTCTCGAAAGACTCGTCTTCGACTTCGACTAACTCGACCATTTTGGAGATGTGCGACGTCTATTGAGGGGTAAAGAGAAGGGTTATTTGTGGGCTTGACGTTGAGCTTGATGCGGAAGTATAAGGTGAAAGGTCCCTCCTTGAGCTCTCCAAACTTTTTTGGAGGACATCATATGTGGATCCTGGAGGTTCATCTGTGCGCCTTTAAAATCAGGCATCAAAGTCGCTGGGTCATCACGTGAAAGTGCTGGGATTTCTGGAAGGAGAACTTCACGTTTATTAACCTTATATAATTTACTACTTTTCAAAACTTGAAAGCCATTGGTCATACTATGTAAAGCTTTCAAAGACGTAGTGTAAGTTAGCTGTTGAGAGTCTATTATAGCATAGTGTGAAGAAATTTGTTTTGCTAAACCTGTACTCCTTTTAAGTAAACAGGCCAAATTATGATTGCAGGGAAATATGTCTAAGAAGAGAAAATATGAAAAGTGATTATGTATTAAGTAGGCAAAACTATAGTGAGTTTTAATAATTTATGTGGGAGAATCTGTCACCTTTTCATGCACATTTACATGAAGATACTGCTCTGGAAATTGCGGAACAATTACATTGATTGATCTTTGTTGTAAAGAGCACTTGAGTTGATAAAGAACTACAAAAATCAACTAACCTAAATGATTTGCTGGCTTTATTTTATCATGCGAGACCCCCACACAGGGTAGTTTTGCTTTTGCCAGGTGTACATAGAGGAATGTCCACAGTTGCATTAATTGATTTTCCTATGAGACCATTACTTCGCACTTCGAAGTACTTCCTCTATTAATATATCTGACTTTTTAGGTTCCCAGGAAATCCATACCAAAAATAAGGAAATATTGCTACAACTCAATAATCAAATAATGTCAGGTTTATTGACTGATAATTTAAGTCATACTATTTGATGGGATGAACGAGTCCTTACGACCCCGCATTCATTAATTAATATATGCTGTCAAAACAAGCTACCTAGAAGCTGCTTTGGCAATTTGTGAATACCATTAGCGAGCGCTTGCGTTACATTCATTCTCGATACGGCTAACTTCAAATGCATGCCACTTCTAGGTTCAGTGGTTGGTTACCATCAACAACAATGCAGGTATCTGCGTTACCATCACATTTGTGACCCTTTCTTTTGAAGGGTATCCATAGATACACAACATATCAGTTGTGCTGCCTACATGTACCATGAAAACATCCACTGCTGTAACTTGCATGCCATAGCACTATCTTCCGCAAGCTTCCGCAACTGGTGATTGGTGAGTACTTCAATGCCCTTGTAAGATAATTATTTATATCCTTAAGCGAGTGAGTATTCATAACCGAGTAAGGTGCAGGCATGTTTGAGTACTTTGTACTGTGCATTCGACCTTCCCTCTAGTGGAAACAGGGTAATAATAGCCTCTCATTGGCGCTGCTTCTAAGCTCTGGCAAGCCACATCCATTGACGAGATCTGTGCACAGAGTCTGCGAGTGGAATTGCCAGAGTGGGGACAAGAAACGGGCGGCCCAAGCGGATGCGGAAGACCTACAAGTACAAGTATGCTGAGATCGCCCTGTCTCGCATGAATAGCGTGGAAGCAACAAAAGTTTCATGCAAGTCGTCCCCAGAAGGTTGCGGGTAGAAACTTTTTACTGAGTACAAGCTGGCCTTGTGGTCCTCATCTTTTCCAAACCTACACTACTCGCACTGTACTCAAGTACGGAGGATTAAATACCTACGGTACCTGACCTAGGCCTAGGTACTCCGTACTGGTACAGAGCACTCATCGTTCTCCACACCAACAAAATATCCCACCCGCATCTGCATCCGCTTCCTCAATGGGGTTTGTGGAACCGAGAATTCCCCTACATCGCCGGCTAAACTAACCCTGGAGCTACGGAGAGCGCAACTGGCCAATCTCACTTTCACTCACGATCACACGAGGGCGCCCATTCAAACGCGCTGCACCTGCAGGCACTTAAGGCACGCAAATTCCATTGGAGAACTGATTATTGCTGGAGCTGGAGCTTCACTCCGTATCGCGACGCATCGCATCGCACCGCAACTCAAGCCAGCGCAGCGCAAAAGAAAAGCGCAGATGCCCTGGATCGCCCAGGGGCGGATCGACTGCATTGGGAGGATTGAAGTTCGGCCCACGTCCAACTACCCCTGACAATCAATTCAAAGCAAACTATCCACGAGTACGGAGGTACGCACGACTGCGAGGAATTGAGGAGAGAAAACACCACGCGGTTCGGTTGGGATCGCTTCCACCAAGTCTGGACGTTCCAAAGACTCACGGACAAGGGCGATGTCGTTGAATGGGCTGGATGATGCAAAGCTCAAGGAGGCGTACGATGCGTCGGTAGCGGAGCCTGGAGGATGGTAAGACCACTCAATTTATTATGGCCCCCGTATTCGTAGCCGTCCGTGACGGATCTCGAGCTTACTGGACATAGGTTCCTCCTCAAATACGCTGCCAGAGACGAAGTGGACCTGTTGGGCCGCGGAAATGGAGGCATTGTAGAGATTCGAAATGCCATTGCTGCGTACGAAGAACCCTCGCCTTTGTTTGGTTTTCTACGGTACAGGCGGAGGAATGTCTTGATCAAATACGTCCCTGAGGATTGTTCAAGACTGGTACAAGGTCACTATACCACCACTAATTCATCCTCTCATTATGGCATAAACTAATACATCTACAGCCCGTGTTGCAGTGCACTTTAATGCTGTCACAGAACGCTTCTCTCCTCACGACACCATCTTCCCCATTACCACCTCCAAGGAACTTCGAGATACCACCCTTTCCCAAGCCTGCTCTCTCCATACTGCTTCCGGGTCCACGAGCTCATCAACAAGTTCCCTCCGGCGACGAAGATTGATGGAAATTGCAGAAGACGAAGAGGAAGACAATAGAAAAAGACAATCAACAGTGTTGGAGGAACGCCCAGGAACAGAGAAACCCACTCCACCAAGCTCCGACGTGCAGACCGATCCAGTTTTAATACCTCTACCCACCAGCGAATCGACCGACACCTTTGCACCTCCTCCACCAAGAGAGCCGCCATCATTTGATACCTCTCCGCCTCCGCCCAGAGAACCTTTGAATCTAGAAACGTCACCACCCCCTCCAAGAGAGCCCCTGAAAATTGACGACTCGTACTCCCTGACTCAGTTGGAAAATGCACGGCAATCATCACAGTCAACAAGACCAGAATCCTACAAATCTTCGTACTTTGGTGGCAGGCCGAAAGTTAAGTTGGGCCCTCGACCTTCACTTGACGCAAATAAAGGAAGGCCGCATACATCTGGATCTGGAGCGTCCCATTACCGCCCAGTCTCCACTTTGCCACAGGGCGTAAAAATATTTTCAAAGGCGTTGCGAAGAGGCATCAGTAGACCAAAGTCAACGCATAATACGGAAGAGCCTGCTGCGTCTGCTCTTGCTCTACCGCAGACGCCCCACACAACATTGATACGACCGCATACTAGTGGAGGCCGTCCATCACCCAGTCCCGGCTCTGCCCTGTCCCCTCCTGTTATTTCTCCAAAAACTCCGAAAACTCCTACCATCACGCCGGAAAAGGCACGATTACTGAAGGCATTGGAACTACGAAAAAAACAAATGAACATGCCTCCCCCTGTCCCCGAATCGAGTGAGCCTTCTTCTACCAGCCCGGGTGATTCAAAACAGACAATTGAAGTCCCAACGGTAAATACGCCAACAGAAATCAAGGAAACCTCTCCTGTACTTAACGATCTGGCTAAAGCAGACGATTCTGCCATTGCATTCGATTCGAATGCCGCACCCAAAACCGATGAATCAGACGCTACGAAGTCGGACTCATACCCTGTGTCTCCTGTTGGACCCTCCGAACCCGAAGAGTCTACGAGAGCCTCGTCAATATCCGAGTCTACAGCAGGTAACGTACAGGACATGGCGGAGCCAAAACTTTCAAGCGAAGCAGTAGACTCTGGTACTAATGGTATAGCGAACGCGAAAGAAGAAGAAAAGAAAACCGCAATGTCTGAATCCGACGACCCGGCGGTCTTGTCGGCCTCCCAAGACAAGCCAGCAGTTAATGGATCACCAAACCAAGCAGTTGTCGAAACTGTCGCAAAAGATCATGTATCGAATCCTATGACCGACGATGGCGAAGCAACTACCCAGGCGGCAGTGAAGTCTCCTATGCCTGATGAAATGAAAGACACCGAGATATCAGTTATCACCAAGGTCAAGAAACATGTTGCTTTTGGAGAACCTCTTGATACTGAGGAATTTGAACCAGTTGATCATGAATCATCGCCAATCGATAGGCCAGTATCAGTCGAAAATCCAACTATTGAAGAGCCAGTCGCAAAAGAAGATACCCCTGCGTCCCCTTTAGCTCAATCAACTCCCGCTGAGGAAGCCCCGGTGGAAATCGAACCCAGTATTACAGAGTCATGGGCATCTCCACCAGAGGCTGAGGTAGAACAACCAACAATTGAAGTGTCAGAGCCAAAGTCCCACGTGCAAGATAGTAATGTGGAGTCCAGCAGCTCGAGTGCGGAAGCTCAAGCTCTTCCATCCTTGGAACCACAAAAGCCCTCAGTTGATAACACCGATAACAAACCACCGACATCGCTCCAGGAAAAGCGCGGGACCCTTGTTGAGCCCATCCGAACAGACATAGAGTTGGCTGATAAAAGTAATTCAGACGCAAACCTGTCCTCTGATGAGGATTTCATGGACGAGTTGCAGTCTGCGGTCGTTCAAGAAGCTAAGCCGATCTCAGTTTCCAAGTCTCCAATTTCTCCTATGTTTCCCGCCTCTAGGCCAGCGGATAGCTGGCGAAATTCGCGAAATCCATCTTCTCGTGCGGCATCAAACCCAGTACAAAAGGGAGAAACACATTTAGCACCACCAACCATAAACGAGCCTGTTGTTCAACCACCCGCCCGATCCTCATCAGCAGGAGCTGCCTACTTGAATCGTATCAATCAAGAAAATTCGAAGCCAGTTGCAAAGAAGGTGAACCTTGGTACTACAATATCACAGAGGATCAAAGCATTAGAGAAGCTTTCCAGCTTGGCACCAGGAGCAGCGGCTCCACCAGCTCCTGGTCCCTCTGCTGCAATTACCCCAGCATTTTTTTCAGTCAAGAGGGCTAGCATTAAAAGAACATCCAGATCACCTTCAATCGTAGAACGCACGAACTCGCTGAGCCATAATGGACCTGCTTCACCATCTCTGACTCGGGAGCCCTCTCCAGAAACCTTGCGAAATCGTTCCAACTCCGTTAGGAATCGCCTGAGCTCTTTCGAACCTGCCACAGTTCCCATGGCAGGACCAACACGGGCTCGTCCAGAGTCAATTTCGGTGACAGCAAGAATTGTTAGAGATCCTTCGCAACCTTTATACCCCTTATCAGATATAGGAAAGGACCCCTCAGAATATGCTCCCTTGGATCTTCAAGAATCCCCGCTCGTTATCAGCCATCAAAGAGCGATTGCTTCCGAGGCAAAAGAGACACTCCAGGAGAGAAGATTATCGAAAGAACAAAAGAGACTCTCCTCGTCCTCTAGCGCAACAAATACCACCGCTGATCATAGGTCATCGGTCACCATTATGAGGGACTCGCTTAGCGATAGTCGCAACTCGTTTGCTGACCGCGCTGAGCGCCGAAAGTCTATGAATCTCGAATCGTCAAGCTATCTTCAAAATTCTTCTAGGCCCCCATCTGTCATGTCTCCATCTCGCCCCCTTTCTGCTCATATCTCTTCTCCTATGATTTACCATTACAACATGTCACAATCAAGCACAGGCCGGAACTCCACTTCTTCGAACCGCGATATGCCTATTTCATCACCGAGTAGTGATAGCCAATCGATCAACGAGGAAAAAGGAGGAAAAAAGCCTAGCCGGACAACTCGCATGTTGAGAAGGATGTCATCGTCCTTGTCATCAAGCCGGAAGGCTCTGGCTGCTGCTGTGTCTCCTACTGTGCGTGAGGATCCTGAGCCCGCTTTCTTCGGCAAGGATCAACCTAAAAGTCCATCTACACCTGGTGTTAATATTGGCGATGTCAACGTACAATTTCCAGATAGTTTACTGTGGAAACGACGGTCTGTTCTACTAGATCCTAATGGATTCCTAGTCCTCTCTCCCGCCCTAACTGCTAGTGGCAGCGGAAAAAGCAAAGCAGTTGGAGCCACCCGAAAATTTCACCTGAGTGAGTTCAGACGCCCGGTAATTCCTGATATTGAGATGCAAGAACTACCGAACAGTGTTCTCCTTGACTTTATTGAGGGCAGTGGATTGCAGATTGCGTGTGAAGATCGGGCTGGCCAGGGACAGATATTGGAGGGTAAGTCTTCGTGTATCTCGTCAGTTTCATGTTTTAAGATTGCTAACGTCTGATTTAGTCCTTCAATCAGCACATCAATCATATGCAGGAAAAAAGCCTTAATCTCCTTTGTTGACTTCTTTCCAAAGTTTCTACGGATACACCTGGCCTTTTCGAATTAACCTTCCTGTCCATATATCCCCAGTACTCTGCCTAGGAGTCTTTTTAATTTTCCCATCTCCACGACATCTCTCGCACTTCACACCAGCCTCACCTTGCCCCATTAATTTGGAGGAAACAATCTTCACGATTTGTGTTTCACTGAAAATTACGACACTCCCGATCTTTATAGATAAGGAAGATACCAGATCTTACGCCAGATCACCAATTTTTTTGCTATTGTCTTTTTTTGTGTACCAACAGGAGGATGTTTCGCCTCATATTTTCTCTTATTATATCTTTTTGTCAATAGTACCCTGCACTGCACCTCCGTCTCCTTGTTTTTTTCTTCTACTTATCTTTTTTTTTTAGTTGAGCGGCCTTTGACAAGCATTTTGCCTTCTTCATTTTTCTTGTATGATGCATTGAGCTTGGTGTTCTGGAAGATGGAAAGTTGGATGGATAGGCGACTGGCCGGCTGGCTGGTTGGTGCCCACTTTATGTACGTTTTTGAGGGTTGAAAAGAGATGTCTGGAGAGGAAGGGAGAGAGGAGTGAATGGTCAGTTGAAATTATGGTATGAGAGATAGTAAAACAAACGCGCTGTTTTACATTAATGTCTTTTTGTGATTCGATACCATGAGTGAATGTATCTTTTCCTTTGGGGTATTTGATACAAGTGTATTCCAAGTAATGTTGTGATATTTATACCTTCCGGCCAAAGTATCTTAACAACCAGCGATTGAGGCCTGTTGATTCTCTGACATCTTCTGTTGAAATTGTACCTTGGGATTTGTTCCTCAATTACGGGCTGTAATTGTAATAAATTCTTCTCATCCCCTTTCCGGCTTTGTATAAACTGAAAACTTTATGAAGTTGGTATCTTCTAGTTGCTATAAAAACATTGTCTGCCGCGAATTGTACTTGGATTTCTTTATTGATCTTTCAAGCTCCAAGATATGAGAGATGTTACAGTATTAAATCCCCCGAGTCTTCCCTAACTGCAAACTTCCCCTGTTCATTTTTCCCAAGAAGAATTTTCGAGGCTGATGTTTTTTGGGGGGATATTGGGCATGTAATCAAGGGCGAGTAAAACAGCGATAGTCGTTTTTTTCTGCTCAAGCGATTTCTTTTCTCGCGGAGGATACTGAGAGCACTCCTTTCTCTAGTAACTGCATTTTTTGTGCGGGTTAACCTCCTGCTGTTTCCTCGCTTGATTGGAAGTATTGGTAGGCTCTAGACATGGATCAAGGCTTTGTAGAGATCCTCGCAAAATAAATGAAGAGGCTTGTCAGCACTGGATATAAGCTTGAAAAAAAGCTTGAAAAGAAGCTTATTGAAGCCCTTCCGGTTCTCTGACTCGCCGGATGCTTTTCAGTAAAAGGTGCTTTCTTTCTCGACTACGCTTAGGGGTACTCGCTAAGGATGCGTATTCTTCACGCCCGCTCGTCTTTGTGCCTTAAGAGCTTTGCTGTTGATTCAAGTTTTTGGGGAACTTTCGCTGGTTGACTTTGCGTCATGGAATTATTCGAGTTCCACGTGAAAATCAGAACTCGAATAAGTATGCGGTAGATTGATAATCTGGTGTCGGAGTGAGTCATTTTACTTCATAGTTGTAATAAACAAGAACGGTGAATTCTTTCCAGAACCCATTTTATGTACTTGAATGATTTTAAATTTTACTAGCCTGGCAAAGTATGTAAAGCAAGTGGAATGGATAATTCTACATTGAGTTGCTTTGCTCTGCTGGAATTTGTCTTCTCGTAAAAATCACTTCTTACAAGTCTTGCTATCAAGGGGCGATGTCTTGATCCTCTGGGTCCATAACCACTGTCCCATAATTGTGTATAGAAGTAAGAGCCAACGTGCTCGACAATTCTGAACGAGTTCGGGAACAAATATAATTCCTGAACACAAGATGACAATCCTTTAGGGATTTCTCCTTCTCATCAACCAAGAGCGAAGCAAGAGGGAAAGAGTAACTGGCTGTACCATGTCAATTCTTAGGTTTTACCTCAATACACATGTTATGATCAATGAACAGGTCAGTGAAGTAATGAGAATCGGTTTAGTGACTTTATCAGAAGGCTGAAAAGCTATATTAAATAGTGAAGCTGAAGATCAGGTCGTATTTTGCTGCTTTCAGTACCAATGGCGAACGAATTATATCAAGAGAAATTTAGATAAAGCCTATGTATGCTAAGCGAGGGCAGCAAAATATTAATTCACCAACAGCCATTTTCAGATATTCCCACGATAGCCTCGACAGCTAGCATAACAAACTCCCCACAGCGGGGAACAAAACAAAAATATCAATTACCACCAGAAAATGGTAGTTAAAAATGGCAAAAGAAATATACACGTCTACCCTTTCAGGTCCTGTACACCAAGAAAACCCATGCTTTCGCAGTATCTGTTTTACTTCTGGCCATCTTTCCAACCACCGAGGTAAACTCAAATTAAAGGTCGGTCAGGTTGAAAACTACATTTCTTATTTGACATCAAGGACATTGTGTGGTATGGAGCATGTGTAAAATAGTGGTGGAGTGGGGTCTTCGGCGATAGGCTTTACCAGAGTTCTGCCGAGAAACCCCTCTACGCGAGTTTTGGCAGGGTCGCGTTAGGAAAACGCGTCTCCCACTTCTAGCAAGTCTTGACAACAATTTACGCATACAACACAATCCAACCATTTTCTGTATCACGAAATGTCCAAATCTGAGCTGCAAGAACGTTTTGCTCCTGCCACTAAAGGTGGGGCAGGATCAACTCTGGAGCCCGACCTGGTATCCGAATTGCAATCCATCATGCGCCTACACTCGATCGACGTGGAGGAACTTTGGTACAAGTGGGAGTCTTACAGCATGAAAATGGGATCAGAAGACATGAAGTTGAATGTAGAGACTGCGAATGCCCTCAAGAAAGATGTGCAGGATGGATTGGAGCGAGAGAACAGGTCGAAAGCGCATCTGCAGACGAATAAAAGGGGAGGGGCAGCACCACGAAATGCTGCGGGTAATGGAGACATCTTTGCCATGTTAGTAGTATACTTGAGGCTGCTGTTCTCTACTAATCATTGCTTAGTCTCGGTGGAGCAATTCCAATGACCCCAAAAGTAGGCTCTGCGAGTCGACCGAGTACCATCAAACGAAAATTAGAAACTCCTTCCATGTCGAGAATTCGAGCAGAACCTGCAAGTAGTCCTCCCGATTTTAAAACATCAAACAAAGTATCAGAGCCGGTTGGGACTCCGTAAGCTATCTCAGTCCATCTAGGGAATCCTGACTGATCCCAAATAGAGTCGCTTTCCACGACCGACCCAATGCTGGCCAAGCAATTCAAGTTCTCAACGACCATCTTAAAGTCCCGGAACCACCAATTGCACCATATCCGCAACCCAGGGTAAGGTCAGTTGCCAATTCGGATTATAAAGCTCTTGGATATAAAACCATGGCGATGAAGTCGTCCGAAGCCTCGGAAATCCTCGACGATCGAATAGAAGAATTTACAACACTTGTTCAAGCACATCACAGCTTAGAGGATTCAGAATTTGGAAGTGCTGCTAGTAAAAGCACAAATGAGATTGTGGCAGTGGGAAGGATAGCCTGTGATTCTTTGGAAGGCAAATTCAACGCTTCCTCTATTGTGCTAGAAACCTCAAGAAGAATGGGAGCGGGTTTGAGAATTCCTCTAAATGTCAATAATAAGGACCTAGTAGGATTCCAGTTTTTCCCAGGCCAAATTGTTGCTCTGAAGGGTATCAATACCTCAGGCGAGGAATTTGTGGTCAGTGAAATTTTGGAGATGCCATTACTGCATGGTGCTGCATCAGCGCCATCTAGATTTGAAGAATATGCGCAAAGATTGCGTGGAGGACCCGATGCTATGGATTCAGACTCGGATCCTGCGCCCCTAAGCATTCTCGTTGGTTCTGGTCCGTATACAGCAGACGACAATCTCGATTTCGAGCCTTTACATGCGATTTGTAGCCAAGCAGCAGATACCTACGCCGACGCACTTGTCCTCAGCGGGCCATTTCTTGATATCGATCATCCATTAGTCGCAACAGGGGACTTCGACCTACCGGAGGAAGCTCTCAAAGAGCCCGACAAGATTTCTATGACTACGGTCTTCAAATATCTCGTCTCGCCAGCATTCATCAGTCTTTCTGCCGCAAACCCAAATATCGTTATTATTCTCATTCCCTCAATCAAGGACGTAATAAGCAGCCACGTCTCATGGCCCCAGGAAAAATTCCCAAAACCGGGTCTGGGCCTTCCGAAGACAGTCTCTATTGTTGGAAATCCAATGACACTCTCATTGAACGAGATCTCCATCGGTATTTCCTCCCAAGATATCTTGACTGAGCTTCGGCTGTCCGAGGTCGTAGGAGGGAAACTAAAGGATGCTGAGATTCTTGCACGGTTACCGAAGTACCTGATTGAACAGCGGAACTTTTTTCCCCTGTTTCCTCCTGTGGATAGGAGTAGTCTAATGAAGACCGGTACGGAAGATGGAAGGCCAGTGGGTGCTGTGTTGGATACTAGCTTTTTGAAGCTGGGCGAGATGGTCAATATCAGACCTGATGTTTTGATTGTGCCTAGCGCACTCACTCCTTTTGCCAAGGTAAGTTGGGGCTATTCCAATGGCTGACCTGGACATATGCTAATTCTGGATATAGGTCGTTGAAAGTGTTGTTGTGATCAACCCTGGGTATCTCTCAAAGAGGAGGGCAGCAGGAACCTACGCAAAGCTCACAGTTTATCCTGCGAAACTGACAGAAGAAGAAACGAACTCGACGGTGATGGTCGGGCATAGAGTATTCGAACGAGCCCGAGTTGATATCATGAAGATATAAACCGGGTGGCGTCGATATTGCATTTCGATATTGCATTTCTGAGGAGTGTGGCGTTTTTTACGAGCAAAAGGGTGGCATAATGATGTATTCACAGTTATGATGGTGTTGATACAATTGTATTTGAGATTCTACAAAGTTTACACTACCTAGAGTTGATTCTCCGGCGTTTCTCATAAGGATCCATATCCCGTGATGTGCTTCTTTTCCTTCCATATCGGTCGTCTTGATACCTGTCACGATTTCTCTCACGCCGTGGCGATCTAGACCTCGAGCGTGATTTTGAATATGACCGCCTTTTCTCATCCCTACGAGGCTGATATGTATCACCCCCACGACTGATTCTTTCTCTCCTATCGTCTCCTTCTCCACTATCTCTCATCGCTCTGGGACCTTCTGGAGCCCCTGCGACTTTCTTTCTATCCCCAACAGGTAGGCTATTGCTTCCACTAGCTCCTGGCCATCCTCGATCACCAGGGCCATCAGGTTTGAATCTATCATCGTCGATGAACCCACCTCCGCGTCCACCTTTCCTATCATCAAAAACTCCCCAGCGTCCAGTATCTTCAGTTTTCAAGTCCTTATATTTAGTCGCTCCACGTTTTCCAAGCTTTGTCATATCTCGAATCTGTAAAGCCTGAGGAAGCAGATCCCGATTCTGGACATCGTCTGCGAATCTGGCGCCCATGAAATCTCTCCGATCAAGTCCCAATTCCTTAGCATCATCTTGGAAGAATGCACCTTTGTGGTGGTATTTCTGCATGTATGCCATCTTCCCCTTACCCTCTTTCTCTTCTTTCTGTTTCGCGATATGTGCATCGTCCTCCGCCTTCCTCTCTTCTTCTGTAAGCGCCTTCCTTCGTTCAACTTCCTCTATTTCCTTCTCTCGTTCTTCAATCGCTTCGCGCTCGCGTTTAATTCGTTTCAGTTCCCTCAATTTCCACGCCGCGTATTCAGCCGCGGGATCAAGATCATCCGTATCATCCACATCATCATTCTCATCCTCGTCATCATCCCAATTCTTCTTCCCCGCTTCCTTAGCCGCAAGGTCTTTCCGTATCTGCTCCTCAACTATCTCATTTGCAGCCGCTATCCTCCTCGCCTCCTCCTCTGCGATAAGTTCTTCCTCGCTTTTCGAGTCTGTCGCAACAGCTGTCTTTCCACGTTTATCCTTCTTAATAAAAGTCGGTCGCAGCATTACCCTCCTCGGCGCCTCCTCCTCTGAAGACTCCTCCTCGCCGCTCTCTTCCTCCCCACTTCCATCTTCCGACTCCTCTTCGCTTTCTGTGACGAATCCTTCTTCTGCTTTGGCCTTTAATGCGGCCTCTTCTTCTATTCGTTGCGCTTCTTTCGCGGCGGCTTGCTTCCGGATCGCGTTGAGGTCTACCTTGTTTAAATTGCTGGTTATCCCGGCGGCTGTTGAGACCTTGGGTGGAGGCGCAATTGGAGCAACGGCTTCATCTTCCGAAGCATCTGAGTCGGAGAGATCTTCTGCGGTGGCTTTTCCAGGGCGGTAACGAGGGGCTTTAATGGGATTCGCGGTCATGCGTTTGGGTGGCATCTTGAGAGTTGGAGAGAGGAAGTTGTTGTGATGGGGAGAATTAATACGAAGGTTTGATGTTGACCTTTAATGGGCTGGGAACTTTTTGGGCTCTGCACAAGGCTGAGAGGTGCGCGATGGGACTGGTTGAAGATATTGTGGCTGGTGAGTATCCACTTTTTGACAGGGAGTAAGCCAAAAAGACCAGGATATTTCAACCAATGGAGTGTGGACCAGGGTACACAGGGATGATGGGTGTCTATGTGAGGAGTGTGAGTATGTTCACTGCTAGCGACACACCTACCCAAAGCGATTAAAATCCCCTTGTCTATTCTAGTAAGTGAAATCAGAACTTTAGGTACCCCTTTCCTTATTAGGTATGGTAGAAATACCTTTTAGACTAGTAAAAAATAATCCTTTTAAAGCTTCTTGAATATTCTTCAATCTAGTTGCCTAGAGTCGTCGAGAAGAAAGTTACTCGTACCTCGTTTTCTCCCCTGAGACTCTTATACTGAGATTGAATATTCTTTCAAGTACTTGGAAGTTTCGTTAAGGAGTTTGAAAAATTCAAAGTATTCTATTTCCTTAATTACAACCAAAAGCTTCACGAGCTACATATCTTAATAATATTACTCTGTCTAATCCGTATTAACAGGGTGGCTGTTCGCTTGATGGACGAAGTCCAGCAACCTGACTTATGGTCAGAAAAACAGGGCTTCAGTACATAGATACCCGACATGACTTACTCTGATAGACTAGGCCATTTTCTGTCTGTGGCAGAGTGCATATTCAACATGGTTGCTTCCTTAGCGAAAATCTCGACCATCTCATGCTCCCCCTCGCTTGCGTCTTGTCCAATGGATCTCAGTAAAGCTAAATCCGCGGGCCTCCTGATACCGGGTTGGGTGAACAATGAGCATTATGCATGGCAGTAGGTAGAGTACCAGTTCTTGTGGGGATGGCTACAAGTACCAGGCACGTACCGGGTTCTGTAGCTGGAGGTAGTGATCGCTCCTATGCTACTGTATGCCAGTAAAGATTTGGAGATTATCTCTTTCAAGGATATTGTAGTCAAGGCTACAAACGTTCTGTAAGTGCCAATCTGTAGTTACTTTGGCAAAAACAATCTGATTAATAATAGTTGTAATATACTTTTGACGAGTAGACCAAAGCCAGGAGAAGCAAGTTGCATTTTAATCAACAAACCCTTCTGAGGAAATAAACCTACTTCCAGCATTTATAATGCGTGCCCGACGCGGATTCAATTGACATTAAGAGCTAAATATTATGTTAATTCAAGTGTCACGTATTCTATAGATATCAAACTGTATTCATAATGTAAAACCGAATATTAATACCACTAAAGCTCTAAAAAAATTCGCCAAATTGACCACCAAGATTAAGTTACATTATTTGAACACATTAGTTTTTGAAGATAGAATCACAAAACTCTCATCTCAAGAAGGCCACAAACAGTCCCGGGGCTCTACATTCCCCTGAACTCCCTCAGTCATACCAAACCCACCCCAAGCAGAAATAGCTAACCCAGAAGCAAGACGAAACAAAGCCTTCCCAGGTACACCTTCACACCAACACACATAGCCATCCACCAAACCCACATACCCTAGTAACAACAAGATAGTATCCACAGCCACCAATTTCTTTTGAAAGTAGAATACAAAGATTGCGAGACCCAGTGTTGTGATTCGTCCCGAGCTTAAGATCATAATGGCTTGTGCGGGCTGAGAAATGGCGTTGCGCTATGGGAGACCGAATTCTAAGATGGCGGCTTCGCCGTTGAAGAATGGCATTAGGCCGCCCAATGTGGTGGCTGTTGCTACGAAGAGAGTGGGTATGATGTGATGGAGGGTGAAGTGGGAGAGCATTGTGGGGTCTTTGTTGTAGTAAGGTGATTTTGGTGATATTGGACGAGGAGAGATAAAGAGTTTATGTTAGATTAAGCGTGCAGTGCCAGGACTCTGAATGAAAACTGGCATATATATAATATAGATGTCTGAGATAATATAAGCTAGCTAGATCAATTGATTTAACAGTCTTGCTGTACCTTTGGCAAATTAAGGGTTTGGCGGAAAAGCGGGAATAGGGGACTCGCTTACGATTAAGGGGGATTCTTTAAGTAGTTTTGGTAAGTAAGCTCAAGGTTTCTTTATTTCGTTCTCGCGATAACCCAAAAAGCTATTCGATATTCAAATTTAAATCTGGGTTCAATAAGAGGACCAACAATTTATCTTGTTTGGTGCAGCAAACCAACATTTCACGTGAGTATCCCTGCTTATACGGCCCCACTTTCCTTTTGAGAAATGGTTGGTCCTGTTCCTGCTTGAAAAAGCATTGGGGATTTGTCACCGCCAATTCATTCACTTTCCAATCTCATAATTCCTGCTATTCTCGTCTGAATTATTCCGGATGGTTTTGCAAATCCATGCTTTTAGATTCTTCATTTGTACCTAATCTTTCCTTATCTTCCAAAGAGGGGTCTTCAGTAATTGCTCGAACGGCACTCGCCTGGGAATAATGATATAGAGAATTCACATCCCAGCGCATTCTCTAACATGAATTCGTCTCGTAACTCCCTCCAAATTCATCCAGACCAGTCCAGGGCGGAATCCGCCAATGAGAAGAAGCCAATACAAGATGAGGGAAAAGTGCAAGTGGGAGAACCAGAAGCCTTTCGGCACACATGGCGTGTCTGGTGTATCTTCTCAGTCCTCTGGCTCCTATCCTTCATCTCAGCAGTAGACGCAACAATCGTCACCACCTCTCTCCCCACCATCGTCCGCGACATCGGCGGAGCTGAAGAATACATATGGATAGCAAACTCCTTCATGTTCGCGTCAACAATCCCACAACCCCTCTTTGGACAAATTTCCAATATCTTCGGCCGGAGAAATCCAATGCTTGTTGCTATTGCGCTCCTCGCTCTCGGAAGCGGGGTTGCGAGTGGTTCCAATTCTGTGACTATGTTGATAGCAGGTCGGACGATTCAAGGACTTGGGACGGGTGGACTGTATGTTTTGTCTGATGTGATCATTTGCGATATTGTGCCGCCGCGACATCGAGCCCCGTATTTGAGTGCTGTCCTCTCGGCTGCTGTTATTGGAACCACACTTGGTCCTATTATTGGTGGTGCGCTTGCTGAAGTGGAATTGAGGTGGATTTTCAGGCTGAATCTTCCTGTTTCCGGGGTATGATTTATTGGTATTATATTATTGCTCAATGTCAAGTATAAGAGGAGTCCTACGTGGAAACACGCTCTTACCCGTGTTGATTTCATGGGTACCGGTATTTTTGCGCCTTCGATGATATCTATCTTTTTTGGGGTCATTATGGGCGGTACTCATTATTCTTGGGATTCTTATCATATTGTGGTAAGTCTTCCTGATTCGTTGAGAACTTACTCTCTTCAACCTTTCCAATCCCCTTTTATCTTATTTATCTTACCTTTGAGACTGATAGAATCTAGGTCCCATTAGCACTAGGCGTCCTAGGATGGATCCTCTACCACCTCCACCAAGCCTCAAAATTCTGCAAAGAACCAAGCACACCCCCTAGACTCTTCACGCATTGAAACTCCGCCGCAGGATTCATAATCATCTTTCTCGGGGCAGTCGTTCTCCAAGCGATCTCCTATTTCCTCCCAGTATACTTCCAAGCCGTGAAAGGAACATCGCCATTGCTTTCTGGAGTTTACTTCCTACCTCTTGCTTTGGCAATTATCCCCTTCGCGGGATTCGCAGGGGTTTTTATCTCAAAGACCGGTCTGTATATGCCTTTGCATTGGGCTGGATTCGCGATGATGGCTGTCGGGAGTGGTCTGCTATCACTCTTAGATGGGAGCTCTAGTCAGGCTGCTTGGGTGTGCTATCAAATCATTGCATCTGGGGGAGTAGGAATCGTCTTAACTGCTACTTTACCCTCTACCCTAGGGGCACTTTCCGAGGACGATGTAGCTGTTGCCACAGGAACCTTTTCTTTCATACGCTCGTTTGGATTGGTTTGGGGTGTGACGATAGCTTCGATTGTTTTTAATGGCCAGGTCGCTTCGCAGCTTGGAGGTATTAGTGATGTTCATCTTCGCGAGCTTTTGGCGGACGGTGCTGCTTATTCGTATGCCAGTGGGGGATTTATTTCTGCGTTATCGGCTGGTAGTAAAGTGAAGGTTATAAACTTGTATGTTGAGGCATTACGAGTGGTCTGGCTGGTGTTAGCTGGGATTTCTTGTCTCAGTTTTATCTGTGTTTTTGTTGACAAGCATGTTGAGCTGCGCAAAGAGCATTAAACTGAATTTGGTTTGGTTGAAAAGGAGCAGGCATCTCCAGAAACATAGACTGAAGACAGCTGCTGATCAGAGTTAATGCTTGTATTATTATTATTATTATTATTATTATTATTATTATTATTATTATTATTATTATTATTCCTTTTAACGTGCTGTGTGAGTCTGAGACTATAGTTGCACGGCTGGGGGTTTCCCTCCAACAGATGAGTAAAGCTGTACTAAATACATGTTTGAGAAGGGGGTTATGGTCATTACAGTTCTTGGGTTGTTGGAAGCAGCTAGGCTTCTGGTTATGAAAAAAGAAAAGTTGTTATGTTGTAGTACGCCCCCTCGTTTCACGCTCTGTACGCTACACTTCCTCGTTCTCGTCTTCCTCGTCCTCGTCTTCCTCGTCCTCATCTTCGTTCTCATCCTCAGTTGCGCGTTGTGAGAGTTAATGCTTGTAAACAGATCTAGAGATACCTAATATGTTCTAATGCTAAGCGAAAGGGTAATGCAACCAGGTGAATCAGAAGTTACGAAGACCACCTTTTCAATCTGACTGGTCTCTAACCTTTAGATTCACTTGCAAGCGGCCGATGATTGTTGGCACAGACTACAGCTAGTACTATAAAATTGTTTGATTGGTCTTCATTCTTTACATTCATTTGCAAGTTATCCCATGGCAGCTGAATTGCAGCTATTGATTTAGCTCAACATTGCGATTTCCCCATTTGTCTTTCACCTGACTTGAAAACTGACAGACAAGTATAAGTAGAAAGTGTTGTGGGTATTGATTTCGTCTTTATCGTCGTCGACACTGCCTGAGACAGGTTGAGAAAAAGACTCGCAGCCCACAGTCACAATAATACCCGATTCGTGATATACATAAACTCGTAGTTCACCATCCCATGCCCAACGCCGCCAATGACACCAAAGTCTTCAACCTTTTCGTGCCCCACCCAATCGCCATACCCATGCGAGAAACAGAACCACAATCATAAAATTTCATCGTCTCCTTCAGGCAGAGGAATATTTTCGGCCACCTCAGTAGATTCTTCAACATCCTCCATCTCAGCCTCGTCGATCCACTCGTCCTTTTCCTTCTGTAGTCTTTCCGCCGCCTCTATTCTCTCTGCCTCCTCCTTGGCCTGCTGTTCCAGAATCTTTTTGTTTTGCTCTTCCCACGCCTTGCTCCTCTCCTGGATATTTCTGGCCCTCCCCTTGCTTTTCTCCACCTTGATCGATTTCCTATCCATGAAGGCCTCTGCGCGGTCCATTCCCTTCTCTTTCCTCCTCGCAGCTTTTGCGCTCAAGACCGATTTTCGGCCATTTTTGTTTTTCTTGGATATGCCGGCACCTTGGTGTATCGCTAGGACCGAGGGACGGATATCTCTCGCATCGGTAGGCGGCTTGACGTCCTTGAGAGATTTGTCGAGGTCAATTCCCGGGGATGCGGCTCGTCTAACAGCGCGCGAGTGGATGGAAGCCGCTATATACAGTTAGATTTGAATGCGCTTTATATTGGATTGTTACTCCAGTACTGACGAGCTTTGTTCTTCTTGGGGGCTGTTTTGGCCATTGTTCTGTTATCGTGAATGTCCTGTCGATAGCAAATCTGGTGTAGTGGGGTATTTCTCCAAAGTATTTTTGTGATGCCGGCTGAACGTCGGCCAAGAAGGATCTTCACTAACTAAAGGTTAAAGCACCTGCACGCCGCCAAAGCATGTGAGCCATGAAGCCAGACCCAGAAGCAAACCCAACCAGAGAGATTCGCAACAGAACTCCAAAAGCATTTCCGATTTTGGCCTCAACCGATCCACAACCACAACCACCACATCCCAACGACCTCCCATTTTCTTCCAATACACATCCCCAACGACTTCTGACTCAAACCTGTTGGCATACACACAAACTTCAGGCCCACATGGGCTACCATGAATCCATACAGGATAGTCACGGAGGATCTTTTCGACGGTGATCCAGATCCCGAATACCACCAAGATTATCGCGAGGGAATCACCTCTCCCTTCACCCAAGTCAGCTTCGTCCTACCACTGTGCCTCTGTCTTCTTCCACTCGTCTACCAAGTCCTCGTCCTTTTCGACTACGACCTCCTCCCCATCCCCGAATTGCTGTGGAATTGCCTAGTCTACCTTACGCCCTCGCGACTTCTGGACGCTGTGGAGGAATACCAAAATCCTCTGGGGATATCGGATCCGGCACTGAAGCACATACCTCGAACTCATGCAGCAAAGAGTCAAGCAATGCGCCGCGTACTCGGGATTGACACACCGGGAGGTGTGATGGCTTCAGTGGCGCAAGCTTCGAGACGCCTTTCTATATTAAATCTGTCGCCGACCGGAAATGGAAGACCTGCAGGACTTGGGAATTGGGATAATTCTTGTTACCAAAACAGCGTCCTCCAAGGGCTGGCGTCGCTGGATTCGTTGACGGGCTATCTCGCAACATTTAGCATGGAGAAAAAATTTATGGAAGAGGCCAAGAAACCGGAGACGAAGATGGCAGACGCTCTGCGGGAACTTATTGCGACTTTGAACGACCCCGAGAACGACGGAAAGAGAATTTGGACTCCCTCTACCCTGAAGAATATGAGCAGTTGGCAACAGCAGGATGCGCAGGAGTACTTTTCAAAGGTACTGGACGAGATTGATAAAGAGATTGGTGGAGTTGCGAAAAGCGGCGGCGTTGTTCAAGGGCTCGAGTCTGAAAGATGCAGCGTTGACTCGAAGGACTCGAAATTCCGAAACCCGATGGAAGGGTTATTGGCACAAAGGGTCGGTTGTTTGAAATGCGGCCATTCCGAGGGACTCTCGATGGTACCATTCAACTGTCTGACCGTGCCACTGGGAAAGATGTGGAGCCACGATATCGTTCAGTGTCTTGATGAATTTACGAAACTGGAACAAATCGAAGGTGTGGAGTGTGGGAAGTGCACGCTACTCAAATATCAAAAGTTGCTTTCGACACTCCTTGAGCGTTCAGCTGACAGTAACATTCAATCACAGAGTCAGAAAAGATTGGATGCTATTAATGAAGCTCTGGAAGATGATGACTACGAAGAAAAGACTATTTTGCAGAAGTGCAAGATAACTACAAAAAACCGAGTAAGTGTCACAAAGACTCGACAGGCCGTCGTCGCCCGTCCTCCACGGTCACTTGTCGTGCATTTCAATCGTAGTGTGTTTGATGAAATGACAGGCGACTTGAGGAAAAATCACTCAGAGGTGCGATTTCCCAAGACCCTCGACTTGGGTCCTTGGTGTTTGGGAAGTGCTGGAACTCATCCCACATCTGCCACCGAAGAATGGCATCTTGACCCTGAGAAGCCCATGGTGGCAAGCAGTATTCGGCGATCAAGAATTCGAGGACCTTCATACGAATTGAGAGCCGTCATAACGCACTACGGCCGTCACGAGAATGGGCATTATATATGCTACAAAAAACATGCCGCAGCCGTCGTTCCAGATGATGTAGATGAGAAAGTGGACCAGGAACAATGGTGGCGGTTGAGCGATGATGATGTGATGAAAGTTAGCGAAGAGAATGTTTTGGGTCAAGGCGGCGTGTTCATGTTATTCTATGATTGCATCGAACCTGCAGCTCCTGTATCACCAGATGAAGACCTTACTCGAATATCTGAACTTTCTAACGAAAAACCAACAATTATTCGAATGGAAGAACCCGGAAATGATGTCTCGCTTTCACCAGAACCGGCTCGAGACCTGGTACCAACTTCTACGGAGGAAATATCACTTGCTAGCACTATACCGCTCCCTGCTTCTAATGAAGATGACTTCTTACAGAGCGAGGTTGCTTCTGAATTCGATGACGAAGAAGACGTCACGGATTCGAGTACGAAAGGGAATGATGATCAACCGTATGAACCTGTTCAAGCGATTCTTGTTCGGCCATACGTCCCACAAACCGGAGGCAATACAGAGGGAAACCCGCTCGAAGAGGCAACAGGAAAGCCAGTGATGGTGTAATGGTAAGAAAGTGTAATTTACAGCGTAGCGTCGGCGTTCACGGGGGATTGATACCGGGGGGTCATATAACGGAACTTGACGGTTTGGGAGGTCAGGATAATCAAGTTTAGGGGCTGGCGTCATTCAACTCTTCATGTACATCGTGCATCATACTATTGTGGATTGTTGACGTTTAATACCGTTATGAACCATCTCTAAGGAAAATGGGTAGCACGACAGTAGATAGCGCTAAAGAGTAGCGAAAGTTAGTAAGATCACCCTTTGGGCCACTTCGAGATTAGACTCTCAGCTACTCAGAGCCTACGGACCACTCTAAGCGCAACCTACTGCCGTCATTTTCCTCAGAGACGATATATTATAGTAGACATTCTTAAAAAAGTCCAAGGGATACTCCTTACTTCATGCTCTTCTGCTTTGGAGATTCATTCCTCTATTGCGGCTTTTACCATGATATGATGAGGTGATTTTTGATGGTCTGTTTTTAGCCACCACAAAATAGCTGTCCTGTGGGATTCGTAAGTGGTTCACAATACTAGGACAAAGACCGTATATCCCCTTTACGTGACCTCATCAGCTTACCGGCTGTACCGGGCAGTCTGACTCTGAGTCGGTATCGTGAGAGGAAACTCTGTGGTTATTTCGTATTTCCCTACTGTCATGGCAAGATCTAACAGCTAGGCAGCAACCCCCAATGGAGAATTAGGTGAGATTGGAAGGCATTCAGAGATCCTCCAGCTATGATTTTGCGTCGAGAAAAGAGCATGATACCCGGATCGCGTAATATTGAGGCTCAGGTGCTTACGATAACCGAGGGATGACTTGACGTCGGTTTGTTCGGTGGTGAGACGACGAGAGTTGCCATGGATGTCTGAGACTTTTTCTTTCTTTTGAATTGAATTGGATTGGATTGTTACAGTAATTGCTCAAGTGAACCTGCAACTAAATTTCCTAACATGATCATCCGAGGAAGATGATCGCCTGATTGGAATCGACCAATCTACCAGTATACCCAAATATCCTACCTGTGCAAAAAGAAATGCTGTGCCAAAACTCCATTCGCCAGGTCATGCAATCCTGAAGACATTTCCCAGAAACATCATTAGCGCTTCGATAAACCCCACTACCTTGGGCTAGTTCATTTTTATTTCCTCTCTGATTTTAATTGGCTGCTTTGCCATGGTTCTCTGGGTAGTCCCAGAACCCACCGTCAACACCGTCGCGATTTAGCATATACCCATACCGCTCCTTGTTATTGAGCAAAAAGTCCGGCTGATCCACATCATCGAGACGATCGAAGTTCGACTCAGGGCGATTAAAAACGTCGAGTCCAAACCTCACTCTATGCACGATGTTATCCTTGTTGGTGATCTCCTCCCGGTCCATTTCCGTGTGAGAGAAGCTCTTGATCTTGTTTACCAGCTCGCCCACGGTGGGGAAGCAGAAACTACAATGCCATGCGGCGTTGTACATTTTGAAGGTGTCATGGTCCGCGTCGGAATGTCGAAGTGCCTCGGGGAGAATGGTGTCTTTGCCATCGTAGTAGGTCGCTTGTGGATGCCACCACTCGTTTCGGGCGAGCCATTGGAAGGAGTAGTAGTACATCTTGGATCCGAGAGCTACCTTCTTTGGGAATTTGCAATTTCGGAGGGCATGGAGTGTTTCGGGTCGTGGAAGCTCGTCAACATCGGAAACTAGAATGACTAGAAGGATCGCTGGTTAGTATTTCTTCTTCGACAACATCCTCGTGACGGGGGTTTCATACTGTCTCCTTTGTTGGCTTTTTGCTCTCCCTCGAGTCTTGGGATAACTTGATCGAACACTGAAAGTTTCAAATGTTAGTTGTTCGCTTCTTGAAAAGTTGATTGTAGGATGTTGACTTACTGGCATTACGCGAAAGCTTCTCACGATCCCAAGCATTTCCCTGTCCTTCTTCCGGGATCTCGAGAGTGTGAAGAATCATTTTATGGTGGTATTTCTCGAATTTTTCCCAGTTATCGCGAACGTAACATGGCTTGTCTTTATCAGTGAACGTCTTGTTTGACTCCACAATGATAAAGTAGTCAACATCGGCGTCCATCTGCCCCAAGCGTATCTCGAGCCATTCAATTTCAGTGTTGATCATCATCAGGTCGTAAATCTTTCTTGGTGTCTTTCTGTCTGGGTATGGCTCCCATCTTCTTCTTTCGCAGTATTCTTTTGCTTCTGACGCTGGGAGGAAGCCTTTTCTGTCCGCGCCCGATCCAGTTCTCAAACTTCCGTGTGAGTTGGCTCCTGAATAGTATGATCCTGTGAAGTTTGATATTGATGACCCTGGTGATGGAATAGTAAAGAAGAACCATAGGCCGACGAGTAGTGTTATAACGAACAATATCCTCAGATGGATTTTCGAGGGCGACGTAGCCTGATTTTGCCACACCATGTTGGTTGATTAAATATAAAGAAAGAAACGTTTACCAAATCTTCGAGTTTTCCGTGGTAAATTGAAGAAAATAAGGTTCTTGTGAGAACCGACTGAATGAGTGTTGGGGTCTCACAAGAATTCCTGAGGGAAGCGAAACAACTGGAATGTGGGAGTCTGCTCCGTATGTATCCGTTGCTAGCACGACGGTCAGAATGGCCACCTACACATAGTTCTAAAGGGTGCAGCTAAGGAGGACTAAGTATTCCAGCTACGGGTATGTTCCAGGTTGTCTCAAGACACCTTACGGGCAAAGACCCTGCGGAGGATCAGCTCCATGCCTCCGTCAACCAACCTTAGGACGGAAATAACTTACTTCGTTCAAGGCCTAAAAAACTTAAAGGTTTAGTGGGGGTTTTTACCATGTATAGGTGCTCCACTGAAACCCTCATGTAAACCTTATTACTCTTTGCGTTTACTATGCCTGGGGACGAAGTAAATTTACTCGTAATTTGTGGCAAGCCGATCTTATGGAAGCTGACGACAGATTTGGGTTGGAACAGCTTAACGGCAAGGAGATGGATGGCGGCGCATGATCGTCTTTGGCAATGGCTAGTTGCCACCAATAAGTCCAAGACTTTCCCGAAGACGAAAACGTATGACTGCTAAACATAGCCCATAAAGGATTCATCAGAACCACATTACAGTTCGAGGGAAGTTACATTGGTTGAGGTTCATCCAACTCTGAATCAGGATGATCAGCAATGTAGGTTGTTCTTCCTTTATCCCCGAGCCCAAGACTCCTGTGAATTGCAAAGAGGGGACCAACTCTGAACATGAGGTTAAAGTTCGTCTAATGTGCATTCGTAGCATGTGATTAGGTTTCGGATCACATTAGCGGTCCGTTCGAGGCTTGGATTTCCCTGTTGAAACATACTTCTGCTTTTCTAAGTGGATGTCTGAGAGAAAAGTCTAACCAAATGACACCTTAGCATTGTGGTAGATGGACGATTGACGGTGAACTTATAGAAGTAATAGAGGTCAAACGGTATATGTTGAACACCAAACCCCGCTCAAACGGGGGAGGGCTCGGGACAGAGAAGTATAAATCAAACTACAAGTTGATAGTACAAGGCCATAATAGTATGGTTTTAGTAGTTAGACTCGGGTATATGGTCTAGATCATCCTCTAAACTAGTTTCCAGTGCGTCCGTACCTTCGCAGATTCCCATCTCGGGTGGCTTTAATTCAGGAGAATCACGTGACAAATATCATGTGACATATAACCACTGTGCACAACTGAGTAAGTAAACCTTAATTGAGATAAGGGAACTTGGGGAAGCATACTGGGCCTGTATTCTATTCGGGATATTCGGGGCGGCAGATGGGCGTTGACCGAGGACCAAGATAGGACGACGTTTCAGGTGGGCCCAAGCAGTAGGTTGCGAATATATGGTACTTTTAGCAGGCACTAGTTTCCAGGACTTTGCCTGCTTTGCTAATAACCCCTTATATGCTCGCGAGCCGCTATGGGATTTGATGGGGGCTACATGGCAATCGAAGCGAGAAAGAGGTGTAGCAGCAGAAAGTCGCTGTAGACTGTACGAGTAGACTGTAGTTCGGCAATTCCCATCCTGTTGGGGGGTTGAGGGGAATATTTCTCTTGGCCTACCAAATCTAAGGATTTTTGGTGAAAATAAGGTTGTCAACTTATCCACTTGGGGTTGAAGGTCAGGCGTGAGTTAGCTTACTCGTAAGCGAACCCGGTCCCACCGCTCTTGGTATTTTTCCTCGTCCCCAGGTCCCCTACAGTAGGCGCGCGCGCCTTTCATTCCTCGCGTACGAGTAAGCATGACCACACCCTCCACCTCCCTTTCTCCAGGATTCCGCAATTTTGAGCCATAATAGAAGCGCGCTTACTCCAAGTAAGAGCATTCGTCTCTCCTTAATATATTATCGTTAGGGCACGAGCCTCATCTGTGTCTGGAAATAGTAAGGCCTCAAAACAGGGGTATTTGCTTGTTCCGCCTGCAGCTTCTGGGCGAGCGAGGGTGGTCCACGCTGCTGTGTTAAGACTGCCTCTTTCAACTTTCTTCTGCTTTACCACCTGCTGTCACTCCGTGACAGACTCGGTGACAGAAACAACCCAAAGCACCATGTTGTCTATTGCCGAGCTTCGGGCTAAATGCGCCTCACTGCCTCCCGCTGTCTATGTCTTGTAAGTGCGCCTGAGAAAAGCTCTCCTATCGCGCTCACAATCCTTCAGGGCCTGGATATTTTTCGGTTCTGTAACGATATTGTTCAACAAATACATTTTATCTAACAGAGGTTTCCGTGGGTATTTCCAAGCGCCCCCTTGCTACTTTACTAACCAGTTTTTCAGATTATCGTATGTCATCTCATCTTCCGCGCTCCGCACGGCGATCAAGTATCTTATTCTAATAACCACACAGCTGCGATTTTAACATGTTGGCATCTATTTTCCGCTACAATCGCGACCCAAATCTTGGCGCGAACAACCACGCTCCTCGATGGCCGAAAAGAAGTCAGAATGACAGGACGAGTCTACTTCCGAGCCATCGTCCCAATCGGAGTCCTCTACAGTGCTTCCCTCGTCTGCTCTAACCAAGTCTACCTCTACCTCAGTGTAGCATTCATCCAGATGCTGAAAGCCAGCTCTCCATTCGCAGTCCTCATCGTCTCCTATTTATTCGGTGTCTCAAATCCGAAATTGAAGGTAGTTTTGAACATCCTCGTCATCGTTTTTGGAGTGGCTCTCTCCTCATTTGGTGAAATCAAGTTCTCCTGGATTGGTTTCTTTTACCAAGGCGGAGGTATCTTTTTCGAAGCCATCCGTCTAGTCATGATCCAAATTCTCCTGTCCGGCGAAGGACAGAATATGGATCCGCTAGTCTCGCTTTACTACTATGCGCCGATTTGTACAGCTATGAACTTCCTTGTTGCCTTGGTAATGGAATTCGGAGCATTCCAGATATCCGATATCTATGAAGTCGGGCTCTGGACACTGCTGCTCAACGCCGCTGTGGCCTTTCTGCTTAACGTTTCTTCTGTATTTCTGATTGGAAAGACCTCTGGATTGGTGATGACACTTTGTGGCGTCTTGAAGAATATTCTACTTGTCGTAGCAAGTATCTTAATCTGGGCAACAATCATTACACCAATCCAGTTCTTTGGATACTCAATCGCCTTGTGTGGATTGGTATATTACGGCGTTGGCTATGACGGCATCATGACCTACTACAAAACCACCAAGGAATTCGCTCAAAAGATTCTGTCGGGTTCTTCTGCGCAAGATATCGAGGAAGGAGAAGGACTCACCGGCCGACCAAAAGGGTTTCTGGAGAATCCAACGACACAATGGGTCGTGATGATAGCGATGTATGCTACTATCTTCCTTCTCCTCATCACGGGAATCATGATCAAAACCGGAACGGCGCCAGAATATCTACAACAGATCTTCGGAATGGTTGATGATTGAAGCCATGAACGTCTAACTTTGCAATTCGAAGACAATTTGTACTAGATATACTGTAGTGGAACAAATGGAGTTTGGTTTATGGGTCGAATGTAGGCTGGACGCTGCAGAGTAGTCTTCAGAACCGCGAAGAAAGAATAGAGGTTCATTCAATTCTTTGTTGAACGTGTAGAACAATGTACGAAAATTGGCACTCACGATTCTCTGAGAGAAGTAGCTTAGATACTTCTTCACAATTTATGTTCATTCGTCAGTCACACGTAACATCAAATGAGACTTGTTGTTGGTTTTTCTTTTGTATTTGCTGGCTAGCTTCAAGTGCTTATAATTCGCCCACATATAGAGAAGCGGAAAGCGAAGTATAAGCACCCTCGGCCTCGCGACCCATACGGGAGCAGTAAAACTATTCTAAAAAGAACAAGTACACAGCTTCTAAACAAGCACACAGCCTGTAAAGAAAGAACACAAAGCTCTAATAAAAAAGGCACACGCCAAGTGCTCGGACTTGAATACAAAGTATAGAGCAGGGCGATAACTTCGGCCACATAGGCAAAGAAGTACAAAACGCTCGAATAAGAACCAGACAACACATCAAACCCTCTAAACTCGGCGAGCTAATAGCGAGGGGTATGTGGGTGGGACAAGAGATCTCACTATAGTGTAGCTGACGATATAGTAGATATGGTGGTGTTGTTGGAGGAGTGTGGTATTCCAGTAGTGGGGTGGGATCTATATCCCACCATGGCTTACTAAGCAACCCCATCGTCGTTGGGTCCCAATACACTGACGCCCCGGCGTCAGTTTAGAGCTGACTAAGCGCGGGTTTTCACGCTCCCCCACCACCGAAATGCGCGCGCGTCGCATTTACATCTACCAGCACTGTACTTTGGACTGTAATCAATGCACGCCTGACATAGCTACATAGCGAAAATGGACGTTCAACTCTCGCTGTCGCCACTGCCCTTACATTCACCTGAGCAACCACTTGAGCCAGCGTCAGCAGATGCCACCCCTCATACGTCTATGCCACTGCCTCCAGAGGCTATATATAGCTCTAAAGAAGAGCTATATACTTCAATTCAAGCCTGGGCAGCACATCATTGCTATGCTTTTCGTATTGGACGGTCAACAAAGATCCATGGCGGTCCTAGGACGAAGATCACGTATAATTGCGACCGTTACGGCCTACCACCATCCGAAAAACATCCGCAACAGCATTTACAAGCACGTAAGCGACAGACAACTACTCGAAAAACTGGCTGCCAGTTCTCAATAGTAGCGCTTGAATGTATAAATTCTCAATGGGAGTTACGCTATAGGCCTGGCGTAGAGTATAGTCTACATAACCACCTTCCAAGTCAATCAGTTAGCTCTCATCCAGCACACCGGAAGCTAGCACAAGCAGAGATAAATCAGGCTAGATCTTTACACAATGCAGGTAAGATAGAAAGTAACTTGAAATAATTTAAGTCTAATATATATTTAGGGATTAAGCCAAGCCAAGCAATTACATACCTTCGCCAGATAACTACTACCCCACTTCAACCGTACGACATATATAACCTGAATGCCTCTTTTAAAAGAGAGCAAAGACATGGACTCTCTCCAAACGACGCCCTTATTCAGCACCTTACAGATAACAAAATACACTTCAAAATCAATGTCACGTCAGAGAACCGGACACAACACCTCTTCATTGCATATCCACAGTCAATTCAGCTTGCACAGACTAATCAAGATGTTGTATTAGTTGATAATACATATAAGACAAATAAGTTTCAGATGCCACTCTTACATATGATTGGTAAGTACCGCTTTTGACTTATTTGTACGCTTATAATACTAAGTATTCATAGGTGTTACAAGCTCTGGATTAACGTTCTCAATTGGATTTTGCTTCCTTCCCGGTGAAACACAGCAAGACTTTATATGGGGATTCCAATGTTTTCAAGAGCTTGGAATTAACCCTGGAGCTATAGTTATAGACGGTGACCAGGCTCAAAAGAATGCGTCAGAAGAGGTGTTTCCGCACGCCCCTACACTACTCTGTATTTGGCATGTAAACCAATGTGTACTTGCTAAATGTAAGAATGTAGTCGGGGAAGAGGATTGGAAGGCTTTTGAGGCTGCCTGGCGTATAGTTATTCAAGCACAGACAATTGAGCAATTTGATAAGCGCTGGCTTGAGTTTCAGACTCAATACTCAAACCCTAAGACTCAACAGTGTGTGGCATACCTACAAAACGAGTGGCTAAAACCTGGTCAAAAGGAGCGTTTAGTTGAGGCTTGGACAAATCAATACTTACACTTCGGTATACGAGTAACCTCCCGTGCTGAAGGAGCTCATGCATATATTAAGCGCTACCTAGGGGGCAAAAAAACCAAGGGGGACCTCTATTCATCATGGCTACTTATTGAAGCAGCTGTAATCAACCAAATTACAGCTGTATCAACTCGTATAAGTATGTTACAGGACCGCGCACCACTTGATATAGACAAGAAGCTATATCAAGGCTGTTTTGGGGTAGTCACTTGGTATGCACTACGACTTGTACAACGACATCAAGAGACTGTTTCTCGGCCACTACTGCCCTGTACTGGTGCTTTTACCCGGGCAATGGGCTTGCCTTGTGCACATATATGCGAGATAAAGAAGGACACTACTGGGCTTACTCCATCAGACTTTCATGAGCACTGGTACTGGGACCGTAAAAGCACTATACAGCCACTACTTAACCCTCTATGGGCTGGTAGACAGCGTATAGCAAACGCAGAGGTTGCTCACACAGGCCGCATTCTCTCAAAAGGGGAGAAAAAAGCAAAGCAATTACCTAAATGCTCTGCATGCCACAGGCAAGGCCACACAATGAGTAGCCGTAGCTGCCCGTTGAAACTACAAGCATCAATTGCTGCTCAAAGCCAGATTCTCCTTGAATTAGATACAGTGCCCACATCACCCACATTATCCACATCACCTACAGCACCTTCAGCACCTCTAGCATCAGCACCTTTAGCATCTCTAGCACCAACTGTACCTAAGCAGCTTTCACCAGATCGGCCAGAAGTCTTAATTCTGGCCTACCTAGCTGAAAAAACAGCCTGGCTAGCCCAGCATCCTACTATACGGCCAGCAGAATATCGTAAGGCCCGAAAATGGAAAACACCAAGGCCGAAAATTTTAAAAGAGCAGGTATTTTATATGCCTAGGGAGCGGCGTGATCTTACAGGTACTATTATTACAAATAAAGCTGACTGGACAAATGAGGAGATTATAGCATGGCTAGATAACGAGGAAAAGAAGGAGCAAGATGAGTATAATATGCTTGAATCAGAGTTTATTAGGAATAGGAATAGGAATACTGAGAATAGGAGTAGGGATATATGGGCTAGACTTGAGGAGGAGTATGCGCGAGACTCGGGGCGATATATATTGTAGGATTTATTATATGTTATTTTGTTAAGCATGTATTAATTATAGGTATAAGTAGAGTGTTCGTGGATGGTGGGGGGGCGTGAAAACCCGCGCTTAGTCAGCTCTAAACTGACGCCGGGGCGTCAGTGTATTGGGACCCATCGTCGTTCACCATACTCCGTAAATCCTGCTATTATTTTTGAGCCTTTCCCAGTAACATGACCATTTATCAGAAAGGACCAAGTGAAAATCGCTCTAGTAATCCTACCAAAAAGTGCCACTGGTGCTTGTTCTAGGCTATTTTGATACAAAAGATTCATGGGACAAAGAGAGAGGCTAGAATTTTGGGATTGCAGACTACTATGTCGCGTACTGTTTCCACTATACGAAGTCCAACCCTCACATAATAGAAGACACCGCCTCTCATGCTGAAATTCAAAGGTCAGATATCGAAGCCTGTAAGTAGATTAGTAAGAGCTATTCACAACTGATTCTGTTGCCTGATGTCACTTTTCTTTTGATGCAATATCGCTCGCTTATTTCCCATGTCTATTTACATAATAACCCTGTTTCTCTTTGAGAGTAAACTCGTCAAACCGAGCAACGAAGTGCGTCTAAGCGACGAATTCAATCCAACTCAATATCACCGTAAGCTTCAAATCTTGCAGTACGCTTCACCGATTTCCAGCATGTCTTTACAGAAATATTCCGGGACTGGTTGGAGGTGAAAACCAATCACGTGGCGTTGAGTTCCGTTCATTAGTAAGAAGATCGAGGTTACGAAAATGAGATTCATCAAAACAATTCCCTCCGAGCCTTATTGGGTCCATTTCCACGTCATAAGTGTCATACATGCGTTCATCAAAGAGTATAGGAAGATCACTTTCGAGCATCTTCCTCCTAGTATTGCCTGGTAGGTTGCCAGAGCCCTTGGAGCTTTGCCCATCAATCCCTAGTATTACGCCATTTATCTCCATTCCAGCTGTGCCATCATAAGCCTGCTCTTTGTTTCGCCACCGAAGCCCTCGCTACTAAAAAGTGTCTCACCAATATCGTGTTCGTCAAATCCGGACGCTGAAGGAATTGACTTGGCAAAACCGACTGGTAACAATTGATACGCCGGTCCTTCAGTCTCTTTCTGAGTTTGTAGACTCCCTCTGTATGATGGAAGCTTGGTTCGTTTCTTGATTTGTGTTCCTGTGGTGGAGTAAGCCTAGCTTGATGTTGGCTGGACTGATCAAGGTATTCCTTCAGGTGGATACCTGAAGAAACAGAAGGAAGGCTTAGATTAGACAGACGATGAAGACGGACTGTCTGGAGTAAATAGAGTAGACCCGAGAGGTGGAGGCTGGCACGCATTGGAGGCGGTGGATCGTCGTAGTGTTGGTTAAAATGGAAAAGGAGGAGTACGTTGTTGAGGGGTTTGGACTCGGCTAACGGTTGAATAGATTTCTTGTTGGGATTTTTCATGTTGAGGGCTTTTCTGTTGGAGACTTCTAGACTTTTCGGCAATAGCAGTTGGTCTAGGGCGTGGAGAAGGGACAACAACCGGCATAGCAGGATGAAGTCCTTGTCGAGGACACTGAGATGGCTCGTTGACAGCAGCTATTTGGAGATTTAATAAATTGTTGATCGTTAGCACACGAGAATTGAGTGCCTGGTTGGTATTTTCAGGTTTCCCGGTAGCAATGACTGCATGAGGGCTAAAAGTTTGGTGAAGAGTCGGCATAACGGGATGAACCACCTGTTGATGATGTCGAGGTTGTCAGCAGCAGTAGCTGATTGAGGGAGTGAAAATTGCTTGACCGCCAAATCGATAGAATGAACTGTATGCTGAGGACTCAGAGGATATTGAAATTGTCTAGAAGCAGTAGGTGGTTGGTGTATAGCCTGTAGTGGGACAGCGGGCAATGGATTGAACGAGATTTCAACAGGCCCCGATTCTTCTCCTTCATCAAGCTCCATCGCTTCCATTGCTGGTCTGCCTTTTTTCCCAGTCTTTTGACGTCTTCTGATGAGCTTTCTAGGAACTCGTGCGGGACATTGAAACGCAAATTTTGTAAGCTGTCGCCGTATGCTGGAGTGCTGTTGCTGCGCGAGGATGCTGGCAATTTCCGGGGTAGAATGGAGTGCCCTAATGAGAGCCAATGCATTTTGGAACTCCAAATATTGTGCGCTGGCGAAATCATGAAGTTTATCTTGATTGCCGAGTAGTGATTGGACGAAATCGTGTTTACGTGCTCTGGAGTGTATTGCAGCGCGGGCATTTTGTGCGCGAACCTTAGCTAGAGAATTGGGGGATTTCATCGTTTCTTGGGGTCCGATGAGCCGTCAGGTTCGGGTTGGAAGGTGAGGATTAACGATAGTGCGATGCTGGACATGGAAAGGGACAATAAGTTGTTTTTTCTGAAGCCCAAGTCACCGGTTAACGGAAAGGGGAAGCTGCTTTGATTAAGCGAGGAAGGAGCAGTTTGAGAATCTGATCACAACAAGAGTGGCAGGAACTGCCAGGTATCTTTTTGCTCGGTAATTTGGTTACCTGTAATAACTAAACAAAATATTCCAGTTCTCCAGAGTAGTTGAAATAATTATTTCCCACATTACTTAGAACAGGTAGAGCAACAAAATACCTAGGTATCCTTTTGCTGCTTGTGCGAGGCCGCCTAGTATCTCACTGCCGTCTTGAGTTACCTAGATACTGAGCTACAATACGTTCAACTTCCAAATAAAATCCCCAAAGTACGAAACAAATACCAGGCAAGGCAAGAAGTGCCAACTAAAGAGCCAGAGTGTTCCTCCAGAGGTAGGGAGCGCCGAACGGACAACAAGAATGTGCGACACATTGTGAAATCTCCACCTCGTGGGTTCGAATTCTATGACAACTGACACGCCACTCACTAATCCATCAGACACAACCAACAAGACTCATATATATATATATATTTTACTAACATAACCAAAGCCAATATTCAACCCCACCTCTTCTCAACACCAAATCACCATCCGCACCGAAAAGGGGAAATATACCCAGTCCAAGCCTCTCTCTACCTTTACTCATAAACATAACAAAACGGCCCATCCGTAACACTAACCAAATCCTTAATCTGCCAAACCTTAGCATGAACATTCGACACATCAACACTATCCGTCAACTTCTGCTGCCCCCCACCAAATATCGCCGTCCCACCCGCAATAACCTGCAACCGATTCGGCAAATCTTGGCTCTGCCAGATCGTCCACAGCCGATCAATCTGTCCATGAAGCAGCCAGAACGCCGGATCATTAGGAGAGGTGTAGAAGTCGCCTCCAGGGTCGGAACCAATAGTGTAGTGTGCGCCCGAGTGGATACCGATGTTACCGTTCATTCCCTGCGCTTGGAGAGTGTTTTGAAAACTCCCGATGTCTTTGGAGGAGGTGATGACGGAGGCTAGTTGTGCGGTGGTGGTGCTGCGTGTGGAGAGGTAGGGCCCTATGTCCCGGCGGAGACAGCGGGTGTTGACACCGTAGCCATTGGTTTGGGGGTTTCGAGGGGGCGCTGGGTCGGCCACGGCGGAGACGGGGCTGGATAATCCGTGTAAGTGAAGAAGTACAAGGGAAGAAGTGCAGAAGGAGTCAATACCCAAGTCTAACTGTCATGCTTGGAAGTGTTAGCAGACATCTTTGAGAAGGGGGTTATTGACATGCTTTGCAAATGGTCCCTTGTCAACACAACCACCACCATTCTGAGCTGGTCCCATTGCGGTAGCTTTATGGCTGAATTTTGCTCCATTACCACTCATACTTGTATCCGATCCATCAAAAATTGGCGACTTCTCCGGATCTGCCGCCCACTTTCCAAAATCCCAGTACTACAAAGATCAACATCATGAATCCTTTTGAATTGCAAATAACATACTGGTTGAGTCCCATTATACCCACACTCTATCCTGAGAGCTTGTTCATAAACCCAAGTAAAGTATCGATGCCACGAGAGAAAATTGCCCTAATCACTTAGCTCGTACAAAACATGAATGAAAGCAAGAGTTCATACCGTTCCATGGATATTAGGGGTTTGCTGCATATGTGTAACAACAAAATCTTCATAACGAGTTTGTGCTCCAGGAAACTTCCCAACTGGCAACTTTGAAGGCGCATTAATCAGACACAAGACAGCTTTGATGTAGGCCTTTCGATCGGCGACCGAGACATCGCCCCTATACCAGGTACTATAAGCCAAAGGTAGATGAATCTAGCTTTTTCGCTTACCATTCTTTGCGGACTTGGAGATTGGCTGCTGTGCAAGTCTTGGACTTGGCTAGTTGAGCGTTGATTTGGGTTCTTCCTTTGGTTTGCAAGTCGGAGACAGCATCGCCACCAACTTCCCTTGTAGAAATACTTAATAAGAATACCACAAGATACAGGCACTTGAAAACAGACGGCATATTGGAAAAAATCCGTTGGAGGATAGGGCAGTTCTTGGAATTGACAGCTTAGTGAAATTTAAAAAGAAGCGAAAATCACAAGTTCAATGAACATGTACTATACATGTTTGATAGAGCTGGTTTGCTTTTATTGAGGCTCGCACTAGTGCTTTGCTCTACATTGTCTACAGGACGACCTGACTATGGAATGCTCATTGGCACCAACCGGCAATTAAGACGTGGTATACAAAAAGGAGTTCATGAAACATTGTGACTATTGGATTTCAACAAATGATCAAATGACCAAGTTTGACTGGATAGTTTGGCGAGAAGTACTATCGGTCGACTTACCGTAGCCTCAGCCAAATCCGCATCGAGGATTGCCGAAAGCCAAGAAAGTCAAGAATTGATAGCAGCTATAATCTACAAGATCTGAATCAATCAAGACCAACTGCGTGACCAAATAAAATTCAAGTGGTCGCGGTAAAATGGAAACCATCCTGGATAATAGCAGAGTGTGGGGTAGCGACGCACGTTAATTATAACTGAGATATCCAAAACAAATCTTTATAGCCGGACGACCCAGAGATGACTCTAGGTGCATTCACGTCTCTCGGCGATTCTCTATATTGGATTCATCATTCGGCAGTTTAGAGAGGGCTTGGCGAGCCTCATGAGGGTGTCCCCAAACTGGCGTTGGGAACAGCATAGGAAAAGATAATTCTCCTTCTGCACAGATCCCAGTACTCGAGCGCATCGCCTGCATTAGAGGGTGTTGTATTACCCACGCAGCTTATTTCCTTGCAACTGAGGTACTGTAAGTGATTTGAGGCTGGACAAACTCGTCATTATTTATATGATGAATCGTCACCTGCCATCAAGTTTTCCCGGGGCTTTTTGGGCCAGTTCCTTGCAATGTCAATCGCATCTCGCGGTGCCCAGAATTCCAGGAACATGAAGATAAGATAGTCGATCACCACACAAAGGCAAAAAAGTTTGCCGGCCCAGATACCGCAGCCATAATATCTTTTCAGCCGATCAATAAGGGCGAAACTGTGAACCCCAGCCCTGCCTCTGGTCGCACTCCAGCTAGCTGCATCGGCTGCCTCATATCCATAAAAATCTGCTTCGCTCAAACTGCCCGAAATCCCATCATAAACTCTTTCAGTTCTTTTAGCAACGTCCGTCCAGGAGTACATCATTTTAACTTGATCATGAAATTTCTCTGTTCGGACCTTATTGGCTCTTAATGCAGCAATAGCTCTCCCTGTCGCAGCGACCAAGTCGTCCTCTTCTGGCTTGGCAAAGACGGTCATATGAGCTGGTAGAACTTCTGGGATACCACCCACCTGGGTACAGACCACATACAAACCGCAACTTGCTGCTTCAACAATAACAGTGCCGAATGCTTCAGTCAAGCTAGGATGGAGGTATATGTGACCTCGTACCATAACATCTCGCACCTCCTCGTGTCGAACAGGACCCAGCATTTCGACTCTGTCTTGCAGGACATTTCTTTCCAACATTTGTTCCAAATCAATTGCCTTGGGACCAGAACCAGCGATAATGAAGCGAACGTTCGGATGACTTGCTAAAATTCTTGGAATCGCTGCCACCAGTAGATCAGTGCCCTTATTGTAAAATAGTCGTGATATGACCACAATGGTAATTGTATCGTGTGGACCTATGAGTTGTGGGAGCGGGTGATTTCCAAATTCGGTTCCATAGGAGGGATGGTGGAGGGGTCGAAAGTTCTCGGCGACAACGGCATTGGGTATAACAGAGACCATGAGAGGGTCTAGGGAGGCACGAAGAACAGTATTTTCCTTGCTTTGCCTCGTTAGAATGCGCCATTGAGGCAGACTTGGGTCTACAACAGACTTACCATGTGTGACTAACGCAGATGACATGATCTACATCGCTCAAAGTAAATTTCAACAACTTATTGGTGAGGATGCTACCAGCATCTGCAAATCCAAATAATGAATGGTCGGTGAAGACGGTCCGCTTTCCCATGGTTCTGGCATGCAATATTGCTTCATGGCAAAAACTGCTCAGACTTGCATGCCCATGGACAATTTCGATTTCCTCCCTTAATATGATATTTCGAAAGATAGGAAAGAAGGAGAAGACAGTGGGGAAGGTCGAAGCGCGGTAAATGACGAAAAAAGGGACATGGTAGACTTTGAGGCCATTCGTAAGGTATCGTACTCCTGTTCTTCCATCATATGCATGGGTGATGACAATCACTTTGTGACCACGGTCGATGAGCTTGGTAGAAAGTTGGTAGATGTGACTTTCGACTCCACCCGGTGCAGGGAAGAAGAAGTCGCTAACCATGGCAATGCTGTATGGCATGGTTCGCGTCGACCCTCGCCGGTGCCGATAGTTGTGGTTGTGGTTGGCGGCCATTGATGTCTTGGAGAAGGATCTTGGATGAGCCATACACTCCTGTATCAACCGAGATTAGAATGACTCTGGTCGATATTAGAAGAGTCGTCAATTGCAGGCGGAGGTGGTGTTTTGTTGAAGCTGTCGAGATCCAGGTAGAAGCATGGCACCCTTTTGTACGGGATATACTCGTATGTAGAGCATGTATCTCCGTATTGGTAATGCGACAGGAGGAAGCAGGGGCACTCTGTATAGTATGAGCTGGTAGGGTAAGGCACGGAAAAGACAGTGAGGCGATACGAGTTCAAGGCATCGCTGTCAAACTTGAGCGCATGACGGGAATATTGACGATGTCGAGAGTTTTATATGTCGAGGTTGGAATGAAAGCTTGGGTGAAGCTCTCCTTGTACTGTATGGCAGGGGGGTCTCAAATCGGCCCCACATCAAGATTGCCGGCGCAAGGCTGAGATGGAATCAAAAAACTTTTTGATGGCGCAACACCATCACCACCAACCTTTACTCGTAAGCACACGCTGCTTTGCCCAATTTCTCTCACCGCCCCCGGAATGTCTTCTCAAATCTACTCCAGATATGTCCCACCAGCAAAGAAACAAAAAATCTCTGCCATTGCACCAACCGATATCATCCAAAGCGCATCTCCCGCACCCACCAAAACAGCCCCACCATCCATTAAAAACGATGCCTCCTCGACATATGCCCGATATGTCCCCCCCTCCAAGGCGAAACCTCAGGCGGCTATTGTAGATGAGACCATTTCTATGCCAATCATTGGCTCTCACCCGTCAAAGAGAAACCATGAAGAAGTCGAAGCAGCCAACACTGCTCCAATTCCAAAGAAATCGAAAAAGGAAAAGTTGAAGAGTGTCGATGTTGGCGTTGTTGCAAATGCTGCCGGTTCTGAGATCAAATCGAAGAAGCTCAAGTCGAAAACAAAGGATAATGGAAAAGAGAAGGAAAAGGTATCAAAGGACGGAGGTTCCAAGGAAAAGAAACCGGCAGTTACAGAGGATGATGATGAAGAGGACTCGAGGCATAAAAAGTTGATGCGGAAACGTGAAAAGTCGCTGAGAAAGGCAGAGAAGCTTGCTAAGCAGGAGGAGGAGGAAAAGGCTGCTACTCAGCCAGAAGATGCTGTCCAAGAAGAGGAGGAGATATATGACTTGGGACCATTACCCCAACCTGACCCAATACCTGAACCCCTACCCCAATCAGCCTCAGCCGCATTGCCTACCTGGATATCGACGCCAATTCGGGTCTCATCTACAGCAACAGCACAGTTCTTGGATATTGGAGTTCCAAAGGAAGCAGTTCCCATACTTTCCTCGAAAGGCTTTGCTGAGGCTTTCGCCGTGCAATCCGCAGTCCTTCCACTTCTTCTCCCGGGGTCTTCCCAACAACTTGGAGATGTTCTAGTATCAGCTGCAACCGGTTCTGGAAAGACTTTGGCATATGTCCTGCCAATGATTGAAGATATTAGCAAGAATATGACTACGAGGCTCCGCGGGTTGATCGTTATGCCAACCAGAGAACTGGTGATCCAAGCGCGTGAGGTCTCGGAGACATGTGCTTCTGCTTTCACTGCTGGCTCAAGAAGACGCGTAAAGATCGGAACAGCTGTAGGAAGTGAAAACTTCAAGTCGGAACAACCTTCCATAATGGAACAAGAACTCGTTTTTGATCCAGAACAATACCGAGAAAATCAGAAGCGTCTCAATTCAAAGTGGGAGACATCCGACCAAGAGAGTGATGGAGAAGATGAACCTCTATACACCGAAGAGAGTGTTTCGCTGTTGGAAGACCATGTACTGCGACCGGTGCCCAAAGTGGACATATTAATTTGTACTCCTGGTCGACTCGTTGAGCACATGAAATCAACGCCTGGTTTCTCTCTTCAGTATCTCAACTGGCTGGTTGTGGATGAAGCAGATAAACTACTTGACCAAAGTTTCCAGCAATGGTTACCTGTTGTAATGGGAGCTTTGCAAAAAGAACGACGCACCTTGCAGCGGAGAGCCAGTCATATTAGAAAGGTCATTCTCAGTGCTACGCTGACGAGAGATATTGGTCAGTTGAGTGGTCTGAGACTTTATAGACCTAAGTTGGTCGTCCTCGAAGGCACTTCGTCCGATGTGTCTATGGAGGACAGCCAGGTTCCTCATGGTCACATTCTTCCTTCGCTGCTTGTTGAAGCTGGAATCAAGGTTGAAGACGAAGGCATCAAGCCCCTATACTTACTAGAGATTCTCAGACGCGAAGATTTAATCACTAAAGTAACTGCCTCAGCCGATGACGACGATTCTGATTCTGATTCTCCATCGGAAGATTCCTCCGATTTATCTTCAGACTCTTCATCAGACGCCTCATCAGATGCCGACAGTTCAGATGGAGAGAGTGCGCAAAAAGAAAGGCCCGCCATTTCTGCTCCCCTCTCGCAGTCAGTTCCAAGCAATGTTACATCGCCTCCTGGCCGAGGTGTTCTTGTATTCACAAAGTCAAACGAGACAGCCATCCGTCTGGGCCGTCTTCTCGCTCTCCTAGAACCTAAATCCTCACCCACGATCGCAACCCTCACATCTACTACAAGAAGCTCAACCAGACGAACAACCATCAAAGCATTCGAAAACCGCAAAATTTCAATTCTCATTGCGTCAGATCTCGTGTCCCGTGGTCTTGATCTTCCAAATCTAGGTCACGTCATAAATTACGATATTCCTACCAGTGTTGCAAGTTATGTGCACCGAGTGGGTAGAACGGCAAGAGCTGGGAAAGAGGGACACGCATGGACTTTCTTTACACCAAGTGAAGCCTGGTGGTTTTGGAATGAGATTGGGCGGTCTGGAGCCGTGGAGAGGAAGGCTAATACGAAGGTGGGGAGGGTCAATATCAATGCCGCTCAGTTTGATGAGAGTCAAAGAGATAGGTATGAGGCTGCTTTGGAGACATTGAGATTGGAGACTAGTACAGTGACGGGCAAGAAGTCTGACAAGTAAATATTAAACTGAGACGGATTTATGGTTTGGATTGTAATTTCTAGGACTATGCTCAATTATGGAGTAGAATGAAAGTGTACGTATCCTGGTATTAATGGAAACCTGGACGATATATATAACAAGATATCATGTTACTACTTAAAGCAAATGCACTACCGTTTCCATCCTTTCCTAATAGTCTACCTATATAAGCCCCTCGTAGTCTTGTGGCTGCACCTCTAGTATACTCCGTGTTATTACCCGGGAGGGAGGGGGCAAGATATTAGATAGAAGCTTTATAGCGACTCGAGGACCAAGTTGAAGATCGTTGAAGCTATTCCAACAACACTTTGACTTTCTAAAAATCTTTCCCTAGGAAGGTATAGTCGATTTCATTAAGAATAGAATAGCGATAGCTAACCATTCACTCCCCCCTTACCAAGATATACAGCTAAATAAGGCACAATCGCCCAACTCAAAAAACATGCACCCGGTGGTCGAGTGGTCAAAGCGCACATTTCCTACCATTCATTCCATTCCTTTGCTAGCTCTGAAAATTAGGCTGGTGTTGGAAATCAGCTCTTCTCGACCAATGGATGGGTCGTGAGGGCTTGTACAGTTAGTTGTTCAGTTAAGGTTTTCGGCAAGCAGTTTACAGTTGATTCAGTTACAGTTGTAGTTCAGGTTATCGGTTTGCAGTTTGGTCAGTTACAGTTCTAGTTCCAGAAGGCGTAAGTTAAGTTTCCTCTCTACCTAGCACTTGGAGCCCACTTGACCACTACTATCTTTTTTTGCTATAACTAAAGTCTTTAGTGTATTACTAAAGGCTCCGACGTAGTGGAATCTAGGATATAACGCTTACCTCTCATGCTCCTAATAGTTATCCTATTTAATCTAGGCGATCTTATAATTTAAAAGGTTAGCTATTATACCCCGCTCGCTATTATAGGAGTATCTAGTATATCTCTCGACGCTAAACTCTTATAACTCGTTGAAATTGATTTGTTCGAAGCGGGGTAGATCTATTAGCGAGACTTATTTAGCTTCGGTATTAGGGCAGGAGCGAGCCTCTATCTTAACCCCTACCTTCGAATATAATTTAAGTCTATCTCTTATAACAAGTACTTTTAGTCTTCGAGCTATAGATATTTTAGATATATCTACTCCTTCGACGAAGTAGTACCTCTTTTAGTCTTCGAGCTAAAGTTATTAGTCTACGTATATAAGAAATACTTCTCTTTTTCTTCCTCTCTCTTTATTATTAGTACGGGCTTATACGTATAAGCTTCGAATTATTAACCTTAGACCCGTTTTTCTAAAAATAAACTTATGATTAGAGTATAAAAGATATAGTAGTACTAAACTTTTTTTAAATAGCTTCTTTATAAAGTTAATATAGTAAGTAGACTAAACTTAGAAGAAAGGAGTAGTTATATATACTATTAAGTAAATTCTAAACGTTCTTCGGGATAGGTTAGCGTAAAAGTAATATAATATTATTCTAATTCTTATATTCTCTAGGACTTGTGACGGAGCTGGATTTCATTTGACAGGATTTCATTCGCTTGGCCAAGCACGTGACGAGACTTGGCATTGGAACAACTTAAATAACTTCGCTCCTTTCAGATTCTCTTCTCTCTTTAGTTTGATTTCTTCGTACCTACGGTTTTAGTTCTAGCAATTGATTCAAAAGCTGTATACACTTTATCCTTTGTTGGTATCCGTGACACTAGATAGTACTACATGTAACGAATACTCAAACTGGCTAACTAAACTTGGCTGGGTGTTCGCTGGTTGGTATGCTATGATAAGAAGAAGACTATCGGGTTGTTCACTTGGAAGTGAACTCGTTACTTGTATCAAAGATGTCAAACTAATATGATAAGATTGATAACTAAGTTGAGCACGAAGCTCCTATCTAATGGCAGACGTGCCAGTCTTATATAGAACCTTCATCCTCAAGTACTATGATCTGGGTAGCCAACTCGCCTGTCGAGCTGGCGGTCCGTTTCGCTAGGTCGCCGAGCGATCCAGCGATCCAACTTAATCATATGACCATAACCAATGGAAATCCCTGGATCGCTTAGCTACCCTAAGCGATCCCTATTTGCTATAAGAAACCTGGGTATGCCTGTCGAGGGTTGCGCCTCTTATTATGACAAGTATCACGTGAGCACGTGATTCGTGACACTACAAACCTAAGCTATACTAGGGTAAATCGGTTATATTATTCTATAGTAGCTTTTAGATAGAGAAGATATTTGCTCTACTAGAGAATACTTTAGTATAAGCTTTAAGATATCTATAGGTATTCTAGTATATTAGTTATATAATTATTAAGTAGCTCTAACTATTTTTATACTAGTTCTTAATATATCTATATTTAGTATATACCTACCTAGGAAGGGAATAAGAAACCTTAAGAGATCCTACTTATTTTTAGAAGTAGTCTTTTATAATAGTCTTAGTCGGCTTATATAAAGGAAGGATTAGGCTTAGATAAACCCCGACCTACCTCTCTTTTTTGACTTAGTATACTTACTACTAGGTGTCACGAATCACGTGTTGGCATGTGATAAGCAAAGACCAGGCGGCGTCCTGACAGGTTAAGCACCAGCAACACACTCTTATAGCAAATAGGGATGCTTAGGCTAGCTAAGCGATCCAGGGATTTCATCTCATAGAAGTCATGTGACCGTCATTGATCATTGGTGATCATAATGATCAACGAGCAAGAAGGTTCTATATAAGACTGGCACGTCTGCCATTAGATAGGAGCTTCGTGCTCAACTTAGTTATCAATCTTATCATATTAGTTTGACATCTTTGATACAAGTAACGAGTTCACTTCCAAGTGAACAACCCGATAGTCTTCTTCTTATCATAGCATACCAACCAGCGAACACCCAGCCAAGTTTAGTTAGCCAGTTTGAGTATTCGTTACATACTTCTTCTTTTATCTTAGCTTCGATATTATAAATAGATATATTACTATATTCAAAGTAGAAGGTAATAGTACTATAATCGAGCTTCTTAGAATAGAGGTAATATTAGTAAATAGCGGATTTAATAGCGGATCGTCGAATAACTTTAATTCAAGGGGCTATAACTTAATTACTTTAAACTTTAAGTAATATAGATGGAATATCTGTCTTTTAGTAGTATTTTAGGAATTGACAATTTTATAAAATTTCGCGCTAGCAATTTTTTTTAGTAGTTAGGCCACCAAAAAAGCACGGATTACAGAAAATCCCGGAAAATTAAGCTTAATTCGCAACTGAATGTACTCGACACACGGAACACACCCTTGTAAACCTTTCGTACTTTCGAGATACTTTGTATGTGACTTCGTCCCAGGCGAAATTAATGTAACTTTTCCAGGGTAGCGAAGACGGACATTGTATTTCCCATTCCCTCTTCACTTTCCAAGATTAACCGAGACCGTCGCAGGAAGCCAAAATCCCACGAAGTAAGGATGGGCCTAATGAAAGTAAAGTATTAGTGTGGGCGTTACCTTGTAAATTTACCTCATCGAAAATCCCATGTAAATCTTCCTACTTTTAACGTTTATTATACCTGACACGTCTAACACGAAGTATAGAAAGTTTTAAGGCCGGGTCGATACTCGGTTGGCAATCTTGGCTCGCACAGTAATGTAAAGGGTCTGGACAGCTCGGGTCACCCCCCCCCCTTCTCACTTCTGATATACCTCCACATGAATCGGACAATTCCATTGGCTTAGAGGGCTATATTGTGGAGTTGTACCCTGCCTATAACAAGTCGTATACAGGGGAGGGGGCGACGCGAGCTGTCCAGACCCTTTATAGTACTTTCGTGCGTCACTGACCTAGTATATAAATACTCTCCCCACCCCCTAATTAGAGGTTATTTCTGACGTGAATGATTTATTGGGACGATTTTAGTAAAAAAATAGTATATTCAAAGCGTAGAGTGGCAAAATGTAGCAAAATGTGGCAAATTAGTTTAAAAGACCCTTGTACCGGACTATTATATAGAGGGAATGACTAATTCTTGGTAGCGGCGCTACTATGTTATTATTGATACCGATAGGGGACCTACTAGATACTGAATATAATAGTATATCCTCACTTATTTACTTTGCTTTATTTAGTGTATAATATACGCAGGAGCCCCTTGCCACCATCTAAAAAGTCCGTCGGAACATGTTTCACGAACAGGTAACTTGTCAGAAATAACCTCTAATTAGGGGGGGGAGAGTAGCTTACCTGTAGAGATTTCTTGGCAGAGGTGAGTTATATATATCGCGCCTCCTCTCGCTCCTTTTGACTTCAAATACAATCCTTATTAACACAAACAAACAAGACAAGCTTTGAATATAATTTACATTCTTATCCGAATATCAGAGGTTGTCTCCGTTCCTGCATCTTCATCGCTTCTATTCTTTGATATCTTCTGACGTATGCTTTTCTATAGCAATCATCATTTGATCCTTCGCCAAGATGAAACTATTCTCCATCACCATCTCTCTTCCCGTTGCTATCGCGCTCCTAGCTACTACAGTCTACGCAAATGTAAGAGCTTATACTCTGATCCCTTGATTTATAGTAATTTCTATTTTACTTTTTTTGTCTTTCCAACAAGAAGAGAATATGTTGACATGTCAAAAAACATAGTGCTGCAGCGACTGCCTCAATTTTTGTTACATAAACCCTGGATCATGCCCTAGTAATTCATATCCAACCTGTGCGTATCGCTGTGGTGATTGTTAAGAAGGTTGTAGAAGCTCTTGATTTACTTTCTCTTCTTTTCTCTTTATTATCCTTCCAATGAGATGAAAATATACTAACTTGTCAAAAGTATAGTGCTGCAGCTGTTGTCTTGAGCATTGCTATAATAAACCGGATCAGTATCCTACTCCTAATCTCGCATTCTGTCAGGCAAGGTGTGGTGACTGTTGAGAAGGTTATGACATGTTCCAAAGGGATAAGAATGGAAGGCAGGAGCTAGGTGCCAGGGGGAACAGGTGGAAGATGTTATCACGCGGGGAAATCTTCTTAAACAATGGCGAACGTAGTTGGTCCCCTGAGGATAAAAGCTGGGAGCTGAGGTTGTACGCCACTTTTAGAAACTGACCTTCTGCCAACTTACTGTCACTTCTTAAATTGCTTGTTATTGTAAGCGTGTGAGAAGCCAGATCGTAAATAGTTCAATGGGGGTGTTTTTACATCTTCGCCTCTGAAGGGGGCAGCAAAGCACGCTAAAGCCAAAGTTTTGTGCTAATACTGAAACCAGTCCTGCTTCTGAGCAGGTATAACTTAAGGAGAAGTTATGTTTTTGAGTTAAAAAAAATAAGACAGAAACACCTCTATCTTGAATATTTAAGGATAGAATAGGCAAGCTAGTATACAAAATACTTCTATATAACACTTTAGTTTCGATTAGGGCCAATCTATATTGTTCACGATCGCCCAGCTGTCTAGAAAAATTGCCGTTTTTCAAACGATCATAGAGCTTCAGATTAAATAACAAAAAAACCCTAGGCAAGTTGTTTCAACTGTCATATGAAGCTACATCGAAAAACGAAAAGGTATCTGCTGTTCTCTTAGATAATGACAATATGGAGGCTACAGAAGGCTATACTTTTAGTTAACCCGACAATTGACAGCTTCCAACACTCCACCCCAAACGTAGGTATCCAGCCCAAAACGTCTGGGAGATTATTTGTTGGGTACAATCTTTTTTGGGCTCGCTTAATCACAAACACCTACTAAAAAGAGGCAGACATGCTCTAGCTAGCTCTCTACGAGATGAATAGTAAAAGCTTGAGATTGCCTACCTAGTAACCTTGATTAGTTTAAGGTACTGAAAATAATTCATACATAATGGCTAGAACTTTGCTTTATTATTGCACTATCCTTGGTGGTGGTATTGAAGGTGATTACATTCTTATATCCATTTATCTTGAGGTTGGAAGGCTCGGTAAACTTGGAATCAAGCGAATTGATACTTGGCGGTACAAATAATTCTAACGGATTGGAAAGGCTGATCGACAACCCTAGATGGAGCTATAATGGTCTTCTTCCTTGCATCCGTCGATCAGAGCAGTATCACAACTCATGGCTGGATACCCAACATGGCTACCAAGGCCATCTTTTCACTTAATCTGTTTCATCCACGGGTCTAAACAATCCGTTGCGTGATTCGAAAGGCATGGAAGTATATCGGCATCAACTACAACGTAACTCCTAGTATTATTGTACAAGCATTTCATCTCTAGGCACGGAAACATTATAAGGGTCTAGGATTCATTGCTTCATTTGTGAAATATGATCGAGATGAAAAGCGAGAATACGTGCTGCCCAAGCCATAAATGCCGACCCCTTCCTACCGAAGTTTGCTGCAATGACGACCTGATACGCTTTGTTCACAGATTGTATGAATGCCTGCTTCTCTTAGCAAGACATACTGATGACGAGGCCGACAGTTAAACATACCTGTGACAAACAATGCCGGAATCCAGATTATATTGAAGTTTTCCTTCGCCCTTTTTCTCCAGAATATCGGAAATCTGCTTATCATAATTGGATATGGCAATGATATTGTTGTTGTTCAGGGCTCTCATTGAGACACGCCTGAGGCCTCTCCAGGTTGTGATCCTACTTCACGAAGTCCGGAAACAGGGGCCTGTGAAAATTTGTTTGCTTAAGGTAGTTTCAAGTTTCAGATTTACACACAACTTGCTCATCGACATAAAATCCCTTTAACTCGTCTTTAGAGGATTTGTGGGTCTTTTTTCTTCCCTCCACCACATAATTAACAACATCGATCAGCATCTGCTGGGGATAGTTTTTCCAGTGCGCAGATTGGATAATTTGCGCTCTTGTGGCTGTAATAGCAACGATGTATCGGCGCAAAGGGCTTCCTTCAAGAGTATTCTCGTACACTCGGAGAAATTTGTCATTCAAGAGCCTCCCTGACAAGCGCATCTTATCCAACATCTCGAGTGCCTCATTTTTGAATCTTAGGAACCAAACAGCGAGAACCAAGAATCCAAAGCTCGATGAGAGTTCTCAGGTGAACTTCTTCACCTCCAGGAAATTCGATGCGCTGAGTATACAGCCAGTTGACGAATAGACTGAAAGCTGCAGGCGATGCGTCATCTAGATCTAGAACTTGAGTTTCTCCCTCTTTGAACGCTCCATTGAAAGCGGCGTCGAAAAATGGCGAATAAAAGCAAATGAAGTTCTTATGCACAACGAACGTTTCTTTTTGAATTCCCAACGAAACATTTATGGTGACCATAGCCTGTGACTTTCTGGGGCCGGTTAACGGAAATCTGTTACATCAAGGGGGCTCATGGAAACTCACCGAAAATCTGGTCGTTTGATTTTGGAGATCGACGTTGGAGGGTTTGGAGGTTGAGTAGGGGTCAACTTTGAAGGCGTTGCGATCTGGGAGCTGGACATTGCGTCGATACACTGTCGGAGATCACTCTTTGAGTTGCGCAAACAGATCGATGGGCAAGATGCGAGTTGTGGTTGCGAACGTGAAGTGATAGCGGTGACCTTGAGTAAGTTACTTTAGGGTTACACAAGGTTAGATACCTCGGTCGCGTTCACTACTTCTATTGTAGGTGAATATGATACCCGCCTGAGGTACCAGGTAGTGAAGTTGAAGCGGCACGTGATAATTGACAAATGAAATCGTAGGTAAGTGCAAAGAAATGGCAGGAACGGTCTGTGTTTCTCGTTTATATTTTCCCGCAAAAAACAACGCTTCGAACTTCGGATTCTGTCTAGCACTGTTCCCATTCCCCATATCAAGTCTCAATTCACTCGGCAGTCAAGTCAACAACCAAGGGTCTGGAATCCGATCTGTTAGGGAGCCGCTGGTCTGTGGAGTCGGAAGTCAAATCAATAACCAACGGGCTGGAATCAGACCTGGCAGGAATTCACTGGTATGAGAAAGCGGAAGTCAAGTCAATAACCAAAGAGTCTGGACCGAGTCTACGGCGAAATATCGACTCCTTATTCTTTGGCATGAAATTAGTTATATTCCGCCACCAAGGAGAGGGGAATCTACTTCTCTCGTGTTTACAAAAAAGCCGCTCAACTCCCCAGGAGAAAAGTTTACCCATCCTCCGTGCGAGTTCCTGACAGACTTAAGTACGTTGATGACATCGACAAGCATCTCGAGGCATGCCAGCTGCTGTTTCTATACTTTCATTTATGACTGCCGTGGCAACAACCAACACGAAATACCGACGAAACGGACTGTCAACCGAAGTTTCTTCGTATACCTGAGCAGCAGAGCTCGCTAGACGATAATTTAATCTCCTTCGCTCGCGATCTAGTACCAAGGCTTGATTTTGCAGTTTGGGTACCAAACATCGATCAGCAAGAAGCCACAGCCCGACAAGATTCTCGGTAGCCTTTCGGTAATGAAGACGTTCATCGCAGGGGATTTGTTGGGTGTATATCCATTCGACAAATAGGGCAAAAGCCCCAGGAGATACATCTTCCATGTGGCAAGTATGTGTCTCGCTTTCTATGAACCCGCTGTTGAATGCAACCCCGAAGTATGGCGAGTAGTAGCAGGTGAAGTTCTTGTGTATGATGAATGATTGTGAATCCTCGCCCATGCTCACTTTTACAGTAACCATAGCCTCGGTTTCTCTTTGGCTGATTAGCGAGCGAACTTCAAAAAGCGTTCTGCAACTTACGAAGGGCTGTCTTTTGACTTCGTCATTTGGGCCATATTTGAAGTTGTCTGGAGCTGGAAACTCCCTCGTCTCTGGAGTTTTGCTCGATGAGGCTTTGCATCTTGATTATCGGACATTCTGTCAAGTGAGGTGGTCCAGTCAGTGATTCACCTAAGCTGGGCACTTGTCTTGGAACTTTTATAAGAGGTTGAATATGAGAAGTCCCAGGAAGTTTCAGGAGATACCCTTGAGTGAAGAGAACTTGTCAGAATCTCAACCCAAAGCCAATAATCTCTAACACAATATGTGCTGAGAAGGAGGAGGAATATGTTGTATGTTGCTGAACACCCAGAGCTCATAAGAGTGGATACGCTAGCACATGACAGGATCCAAGCTCTAGCATATGTATCCTAGAACTGCGAGTATCGGACACTCTTTCCTAGTCTAGTTCAACCAGTAAGTATGTCGGGTTCCATGACCGCAACTTTCCTATCTTCCAACCATTCTTCCGATGAACAACAACTGAAGTGACTAGAGCCCACCACTTCAGTTTTCTAGATCAATATAGATGATGATCCCAGCTCTCTGGATAAATCATCTGAACGATTTAATGCCCCAGTTTCTTTTGTCCTACACATGTTGAACTATGATCATCCTTGCGAATCTCAGCTTTTCTTCGCAGTATCGATGCCGCTTTCGGATGAGTTCTCCAGAAGGGGCATACTGCAGTCTGTCTGGACTGCATTATTAATCCCAAAGAATTAAGAAGTAATTTCATGAACGATTTGATAGAATATCACTCAACTTCAGAACAAATTATTTCCTCCAATTCTCAATGTTGGCTGAGAATGGGATTTTATCCAACGCCGCTTTACCCCATTCAGCTTTCGGTACAGTCAAAGTCGTCATCCCTGTCCATTCCATCATGGAATAAACTCAACTCCCACCCTCAACAATTTTATATGATAACCCTCCATATATCAAAAGCGCCCAAAAAACCAGTTTCCATACAGAAAAATGGCGCCATTTTCACTAGTCACACCCGCAAGTCGAGGAATCGGTTTCCATTTGACCAGACACCTGCTACGAACCACATCCCTACCCGTAGTCGCAACAGCGCGGAAAAACATGCAGGACGTCAGAAAGGAGTTACTCAAAGACATGAAGGATATTGATCCAGAACGACTCACGGTCTTAGAATTAGATGTCACAGGTATATTCCCGATCTTTCTCGTGGTTCCATATCCTTCTATTTCCACTTATTATTCTGTTGCGTGCTTCCTTACACATCTCATCTCATCTCATCTCATCTCATCCCATCTCATAATCACTTAACCGAGCATAAAAACTAACAACAATCCCAGATGAAAACACCATAATCCACGCAACCTCAACCCTCCAATCCACCTTCCCCCCCACAACCAACCACCTCCACCTCACCTTCGCCCTCCCCGGAATCCTCTACCCCGAAAAATCTCCCTCCCAGCTCTCCCACAAAGAACTAACCCACACCTTCGCCATCAACACCATCGGGCCCCTGCTGCTCACAAAACACTTCTCACCCTTCCTCCCCAAAAAATCCACCTCCTTACCCCCACCAACCCCCGGATCATGGGTCCCTCACCATGCAACCTGGGTCAACATGTCCGCCCGCGTCGGCTCGACGACCGATAATGCGCTCGGTGGTTGGTATAGCTATCGCGCGTCGAAAGCGGGGGTTAATTCGTTGACGAAGGGGTTTGATATTTTTGTGAGGCAGAGATGTGGGGAGAAGGCGATGGCTATGGCGTATCATCCTGGGACTGTGAGGACGGGACTAAGCAATGAGTTTTGGGGGAGTGTGAGGAGGGAGAAGTTGTTTGAGCCGGAGTGGGCGGTGGAGAGGATGTGTGGGGTTGTTGGGGAGGTGGGTTTGGAAGGGAGAGGGAGGTGTTGGGATTGGGAGGGGAAGGAGGTCTTGCCTTGAGCTGTAAAGGGCTATTAAGATGTAGGTATAAATTATATACTTTTAGACGAACATTCGGGTTGTTGGTTTTTATGATTATAAAGTATTATCCTAGGACTACAAGGACTTTTAGAGTTTAGATTTTCTCCCCACCATCCACCCCCCGCCCAATCCCCGGGAGTGTGAGGAGGGAGAAGTTGTTTGAGCCAGAGTAGGCGGTGGAGAGGATGTGTGGTGTGGTTGGGGAGGTGGGGTTGGAGGGGAGGGGGATGTGTTGGGATTGTGAGGGGAAGGAGGTTTTGCCTTGAGCTGTGGATGGTATTAAGTTTGGGGGTTATGAGTATTATCCTAGGTCTACGAGGACTTTTCAAGTATGAGGTCTTGCCTTGAGATGTAAAGGTCATTGAGATGTAGATAGAAATTATATAATTTTAGAAGAACGTTCGGATTACAGCAGTTCAGATGGTTGGTAATAGAGTATTATCGTAGGACTGCAAAGACCTCTTTTTTTTCAGCATGAGTTATTTATTTTATTTAATCTATGCTGGAGTGGTATGTGGATTTCTGAAACGCGTTGGGATGTGAAAATTCTGGAGGGGGGTGTCTCTTGGATGTTGCTAATGAGAATTAGGTTGTATGATTGGAATGTGAGCTTTATTTTATGCTACAGTAAGAGTATAATGATGATGTGTTTGGGAGAGATATTTTGGTATAAATTTCCAACGAATGAGAATGTGTTTTAGATGCCTGTGAGACCATGCTATATATGAGTTGTTGGAATGGGATTAACCATATGAGAATAAGTTAGAGGTGCTCCTGAACCACCAGGGATTGATGTCAGCCAACCAGAGTCTTCATGTATAAGTTCAAATTAGGCAAAAGGTCGGTCACTGAGAACTCTCTCAATTTTCAAGAATTAAAAGCGAGAAACAGTATCACCAATTCCAAAGCTCAAAGATCAAATCAAAGTAAATCATCTTTTCATTATTAACGTCCCCTCTCGAGAAATCAGAGTCAATCGAACCAAATCTCCTCGAAAAACTAAACAAAGGCACCATGCTCCCCATCCATGTCCTTTCTCATACAGAAAAGTGGTTACAAAAACCGGGTATTTAAGAACTGAAAATCTCCCTTTCCCTCATCATCTCCATGCCCTCTCCACCGTACACCTCTCTGTCACCAACCCTTGCTGCTCGTCCCGACTGCCCGTTTGAGTGCGAATTTCTCATGATTGTTGAAAGGCGTCGAGTCCGATGCAGGGACAGAGAGGGTACTAGACATGACTTGTTCTGACTCCGCCTCTACGGCGTCCGGATCGCCGGCAGGTAAGGCAGGAGACGATGATTGCTGGTGGGAGGTTAGTATTGTTTGCGTGATACGTGCTGTATTGTGTGGAGGGAGGACTTACCGAAGAAGGATGCGATTGCGCTGATGATGGCTTGTATGACGCCGGCAATACCGTTGATGACGGTCATGATACAGGCGCCGATGGTTTGGCATAGCGAACGGATCTGTCAGACAGTTAGTTTGAGAGTGCGCGGAGATGAGATCGGGAGACGAACGCAAGATACAACGGCTCCCATGGTTGCGGTGGTGTGATGTGTTTTGGTTATAGATTGAGTGTTTTTGTGTTGATGTGTTGATGTGTTGATGTGCAGATTCTCAAGATGTTGTTTTGAGATCGAAGTTGTTGTGGATGGACGAGGAATGTGGAATGGATGGTATCAAGGGGAAAGGGGAAAAAAGTCGAAGCAAAGAAATTGATCGAGATATATACCTACCGCTCCCATGCATTCACCGCCCGGGTAATCTTTCTATCTCATGTCCTCTAGTATGGCCTCACCTCCCAAACCAACGACGTAGGTCGCATCGCGCGTCATAGGAATCTCGCCCATCGAAAACAACAATGCGGTGCTGCAAACATTTTAGACTTTGGTTGCCGACTGGCAGGGATCAGGTGTGCAGGATGATGTCACTAGCCGTCTAGCCAGCGAATCCCACGAGCTTCATGGGGCCGCGACTCAGTTGCATGCGACGGAAAGGCTGTGAATGCAGGAGTGGCTGATGACTTCATTGGGCGGCCAGGGCGGGAGATTGAGGATGACTGAGTTGCGCTGCAGCGCTGCGATGCAGGTGATGGGAAGTATCTGAACCAGAAATCAAGGAAAATGCACGAAACGCTGTTCTTCTTCCGAAAGAGGTTGTGCAAGGGTTCTGATTTCAGATGCTCGTACTCCGTACTTTGGGTTTTCTTCTCCTCAGAACGCCACAACGCCACAGTCACTCGCCACAATGATCGACAGTGGAGAGTGGCTGGTGATGTCAAATTCGACGTTGGGTTGCAATTCACTTACCCCCTCATTGATCAAGATGAACTATCCGATGCTCATTCAAGCTTAATAATAAGCGTACATTTTCACTGAACGGGAATTCCACTTACCAAGGAAACGGTAGTGGAACTACCAAGCTCTAAATTCCTTGAAAAATACACTATTGACAGTCTACCCCGCGTTTTCCTTTCCACCTTGTGTACTCTAGTATAAGGAGTACTTCACGAGGGTTCCATGGCTAGAAGAAAGCTTAAATTCAACACCTCTCCTAGGTACTGTACTGTAAGAGCAAGTCTCAAGCCCATTGGAAATCAGGTCAGGTGCAGAGATGAATCGTGTTATTTCGCCCAATTAGGTTCAATTATGTCTCGCACGGGAATATATACCGGTACCGAGTATGTGAGGAGCATCGCTTTTTTCTTATGGGAATCGAATGGATTTCGACGAGGATGCTGCGTGTCATGTGTAAATTTTGGAGCTGTATAGGTATGCTACCTTGAACCGAGTACCGAGTCGAGCTCAGAGTCGGTATGCCTCTAAATGTTCACTTTCTTGTGGATGAGCAGACGCGGATAGCGGGTAAGCCAATGTAGGGCTGAGCGTATGGAGGCGGAAGCGGTGAGTAGGAAATGGATGGGAGAATGAGAGAATGAGAGTCTGATACTCTTCATGAGAATTAGGTGAGAGGTAGACATTATGAAAATCTCATACCAAAACATCCTTTACAGACTTATTATTGTACTGTGACATAGTAAAATATCAATTTACGAGATTGTGTAGTTTTTTCCCAGCCCCTCCCCCGCAGTACACTCGGACCTTTTAGTGGTTGGCACTGGTTGGTCCCTTGTCCACACCTTTGCAGATCACAACGAGGAATCATGGTAAATTTAGTGGGACAGGTGTGAAATACAATGTAAATCGTGGCCTTGTCGTGGTTAATTGCAACTATTTGGAGGCTTCTACCATCATGATCAACAGACATCACTTCTTACTTTGTAAAACTTTACCTGCTAAACACCACGAGGGACGAATCATAAGTTTAGAAATAGGTATCCAAAACAAGAAGAAATAGATGACTATACCGCTACTATCAATACATCCATACTTAGTATACCGCACGTAATCTATTGGCTTGAGATACTATTTCTAATACAGCAAAACGACCAGGACTATTAGTCTTATCTCTTTTGCTTGTAGTAAGTGCACAATTGCGTTCACTGAGTACCACTAAGAAATACCACGTGATAGATTCTACGATTGGAATAAGTTGAAGTAACAGGTGGGTTTTGCCATTTCATTCTATCTATGACTTGGAATCTGTAAATAATTGAATGAGAAATGAGTCGTAGTTTAGAGGAAAGGTTGGGAGAAAGAAGTAGTAGTAAAGAGCCTAGATAGAAGTGGTGATAGCTATCTACATTCACGTAACCTACAAGTTTTATTAACTATTCTAGAATAGCGAGAAGCTCAGCGCCTTAATTGGTCTCAACACCCCTTAAGCAGGGAGATTTTTCCACAGACAAGCTCCCATGGAAAGGTGAATAACAAAATCTTCCAGTTGTCCCCCAACCCCCTCAGATCCGCCCTCTAATCAATATCCTTCACTTACCCTCCCGTCCCATAAGACCTCGCAAAACAGAGGAGAGAGAAGTTCGTGAATATTAAACAATGGATGTGTTTTGCGTATCGAGGGTGACTAAGCAAGCTTGTATATATCGTTTGATCTATTCGATCACTTGTCCATAACAACAACAAATCTACTGATTGTTGTTGCAAGCTTGTAAAGAGTAGTTTCTTATTAAAATGCTGGCCTTCAAAAGTATACTCTTATTTAACGTTTAATTAATAATTTAATAACATGTTAGCTCTATAATAAACGGGCTCTAGTTCGGGTAGCTTAATTCTACTACTACTATAAAGATAATAATAAAATAACTAATTACTACTAATTTAGTAGGTGTTATAAGGTTAATTATTATTAGAGGATCGTCTATAATTAGAGGAATATAATATAAATATAGTATTATTAAGATAGGAATCGTAAGTAAGGATTACGGCTATTATAAATAACCTAGGAGGAGTATTTAGTACTACGGTAGGACTAGTACAAGTACGGGGAGTAGGCAGAGTTTAGGTAGTAGATAATAACAATAAAGGTAAGCTATTATCATTATTCCTACTGCCTCTGCTCTTCAGTGCCGGGACCTTGTTTACATCGAAATCCCACTCTCTCAAGGGCCTCCACTCTATATACTCAACATATACAATGCCCCATTAGAGGCCACAGGGGCAGGGGAAGCTATTCGTCTAGTACTTAGCTCTCGACATATCTCTACAACGAACCTTCTTCTAGCTGGAGATCTCAACTTAAAGAGCCAGCTCTGGCAACCCGAATTTTCAGGGCAGGAGAATACCCAGGTCTCTCTGCTTGTCAATTGGCTAGAGGATAGAGGGCTACAACTCATTACTCCTCCTGGTACACAAACGCATAGCCTAGGCAATACACTTGACCTAGCTTTTTGCTCTAG